TCTCTCTCTCTCTCTCTCTCTCTCTCTCTCTCTCTCTCTCTCTCTCTTTCTCAAACACACACACACACACACACTCACACACACAAGCATGATAACATTATTTAGTTGGTGCATTCAGCTGGGCCTTCAGACATGAAGGAACAATGTAGAGAGAAAAGCTTTCCCTGGCCTGTCTGTGATAGCACTTACAAACACCCGAAGCATGCTCTTCACTTCCGTTCAGTCTTAGGTACCCTCCCTCCCTTGATCACCTCCACTCAGGTAACTCATTTAAATTCTGGGCCCCATTAGATTGTGTAAAGAATTTGACCATCCCCCTATTTCAAAGCTTCTCTCATTCTTTGTCCACGCTGGGCTTCTATGGACAGAACTTAACACCGCTGCTCAGACTTATTGTCCACCGTGGGTTAGTAGACAATAAAGGACATAGACAGTGTGTACTCAGCTGCAAGGAGGACTCCAGTTGAGCATCTTTCCATTCCTTTGAGAAAAATAGTCACTCCAGTTATCTTGGCTTGTTTTAGTCATACAAGCAGTGAGTCACACTGAAGAAGTACTACCCCAATGGGAATGGTGGAGGTTTAAAAATACACCAGTGTGACAGAGCTCTGACCACTTGCAAGTATAGAAATGACTCTGTAGGAGGGATTTTGATCTCTCCTATCTGGGCCAAATGTTTTCTTACAGAAATTGTGTGTTTAAAAAACAAAACAGACAAGAAGAGCCTCGCTGGGGTTATTTTTGCTCTCGCTGGTTTTCATTTCTATTTTTAATATCTCTCTAAAGACAGTGTTGGCATAATTCAGGCAAACCACGGCAGAATGACGTAAAGAGCAAGACATGAACGGGTGCATACAGTTTGCATCAGTAATGTCTTTTTATTTTCCTTATGTTATAGATAGGGAAGTGGCTGCATTTTATTTGCCTATCAAATTTCTACCTCTGTTTTATTTTGAAACTCATTACAACCCCCCTGCAGCATCAAGATCTGCCTTCCCCCCCAGCCCTGTACACTTCCTGGTGTTTGGCCAGGGCAACGAGAGCTCCTCCATGTTTGTACAGGTTCAACTGTTTGATGTTCAAGTTCTAACTAGTTCTTGCTTGGGAAGTACAGACTAAGCCCCCCTTAAGCTTAGTCGTGGTGAACAGTGTATGGAATGCTTCCTGAATTACACACTCCCAAACTGTAAGGAAGTTGTTCTTAACTTCTACAAGGAAGGGCACACAGGAGAGGGGCAAAAGTGAATCTATTGAGTCATGCCTCAGCCACTGTGTTTTATGGTGCCACACCACTGCACAGGGCAGCTGTGGTGACGATAAGTCATCATTCGTAGGAACTTCTGGTCCTCCCCTGTAGGAAACAGCATCTGGCTGCTTTGCCTTTTAGTTTTAGGCTCTCATTGGTATCCAGTGCCCATTGCCCCCCTCTTTCAATGGTGATTAAACAAGGCTACTTTTTGATTTCTAATATTTCTAATATTAATTTATTATAATAGAAATTAGAGAAAATATTTGATGTCCTATAGATCTATGTGTTTAATCATAGGCTATGGGTGGAACGAGAGTGGAGACTTGAACTGCTAGTACGTATAGATCCTCTACTTTTTGACACGTATTTTGACCGACAATATTTCCAGCTAGTAGAGTTTGCTCGAAAGTGTATTAGCAAATATATTAAGATCATATTATCTAATTCTAATGGCTGTTGTAAATCGAATAACACAAGAGTTGCAAAAGGCGTCAGGAGAATTCCAAGGTCAAGAGGAAAACCGTAGCTTTGCTTTGCCAACACCCGCCATTAGTGTTTAAGCATCGTCCATCCCTGTGCTGTTATTTCCTGTTGCTGTGATAAAGTGCCATGACCAAAAGCATTGCAAGGGAGGAATGTTTCAGCTTTTCATTCCAGAAGGACACAATCTGTCTTCCAGAGGGACAGAGTCACTCTTCCGGAGGGACAGAGTCTGATTTGGCAAGGAGAGCCTGGCATGGCTGCAGGAACAGGAATCTGACTTATCACATTGTCATGGAAACACAAGGAGCAGGGGGCGGGGGGAGGGAGGCAGACAGGCAGAGAGACAGACAGAGGAAGAGAGACACAGAGACAGAGAGGAGGAAACAGCATAAAGCTCCAAATCCTCAATGCTTACCCAGTGACATACTTCCTCCAGCAAGACTCAACTTTCTATATTTGTCATAACTTTCCCAAAGCAATGATGAGACCAAGTCTTCAAATACACGAGCCCCTGGGGAACATTATCATTCAAACCACCAGTCAGGGGCATTAGGGTAGAGTTCACAGTCACAGATAACCCAAGTGTAAATACTTGGGGCTCATATGTAAAGGATTTTATGGAAGAGGCTCAAACAGGACAAGAAACATTCCCCCAAATTGTAGTGTCCATTTGCCTAGAGAGGTACACGAATGCATTGGACCATCATGAAATGTTCAAGTTGTGCCTGATCCATCATGAAATGGATTTATATGGTGGTGATTACAGTGATGATGATGATGATGATGATGGTGATGATGGTGATGATGATGGTGATGACACTGAAGATGAGATTATTCTGATAATATTTTTACTAAGTGCTTAACTATATTCAGGGTATTATTTCAAGAGTATTGCATAAATTAACACATTAAATCCTACCAACAACTCTATCCTACGTTATACTACGATTGTTCCCATTTCGTAAATGAGGACAGGGAGGCCCAGGGAGGATATATAACTAACTTGTTTAAGACTAGATATAAAATCAATGATAAAGTCACTATAAAGTAAACAGTTGTCATGCTCCATGTATTCTGGAGAGTAGCAATTCGGTCCTTAAAGATAAGTACCATATATTATCATGTTATAGTCATTTTATGTAATTGTTTTCACGGTGTGGATACTTGATTCATGAGTATAAATGACAATTTTCTCTCTAACCCCTCCCCCAAAACCTTATGAAATATGCATACATTCATTGGTTCACATTGGTTTCTACTTTCCATATCTGAACATAGATCTTACAGAATCTATGTAATGTTGCATTTTGGGATATAGCTGAAGGTTTTTGCCCCCAAAACATACAGAGTAAGTTTAAAACTCACGCTTATCACTCTAGTATGACTGTAATCTTTGTAACTTGATAAACTTGTCTTAAATTTGGATAATGCATCTGCTCACAAAGGCCCCTGACTACATTATTGCCAGGGATATTTATATTTGTAAAGCTGAGACCTACAATGTGAAATTAGTCTTGTTTACACGATTTGTTACTTCTCAGGAGGATGACTCGCTGGGGAGAATTTGATGACCTTTATCGTATCAGTGAGCTGGACAGGACTCAAGTTCTAGCATCTGAAGCCAGGCATTCCCCGGAAGGTTAGTATCAAAGTCTTATCAGTGCGGTGCATTGTTTAACATAAGACACAACTCCTAACCATTTGCCTTTTACACAACACTACTTGCTGAACTGATGTACATATGCTTCTTAGTATCCCTGAGGAGCCTGGTATCGTACGTGTCTTCATGGCTTGGGTGGCACACTACAGGCAGTCACTAGCCTAGAACATACTACTGCTTTGCTTTTATGAAACTTAGGGGCAAATTCTCTTAAGTCTCTGTATGCGGTGATTGTGACCTCTCAGGAAGGGCAGCTAATACCCAGAGTCTGTCTTCTTAGGAAAGGTTGGTTAAGCTTGAAATGAGGACAAAACAGAGGTGCTGGCCTGGTCTTGTTTAGAAGTCCTATGTTCATGTAGAAGCTACTTAGCCCGCCATGATTTTCTCTCACCTGGCTAAGTCCAGACTGACAGAAAAACAGGTTTGTCCAGCTCTTCCATGCTAAAATTCAGTATAATTTACACCCCCAATAAAGTAAGATTAAAAGACTGGGAATGCCAGTCACATGATCACACGAATCCTGAGACACAACTCACTAGCAGCATTTGCTGTCTGACCAGGCTCACACAGCACCTAATAAGTAAGTCAATGTAAGCCAAGCCAAGCAGTGAACTATGGTGCTTTTAAAAAGCCAGGAAATAGCAGTCATTCTTGTTAATAAAAGCATGCCAGCGTCCCTACTTCAACGTTGCAAGAAGATAGGCAGCTAAATGATGTGGGCTTGTGGTCTTTATTCTTCCCAGACTATTTATCTTACCACAGCACTCTGAAGCTGTACACAGACGAAGAGCCGGAATCCCCATTGCTCTACAGGACCATGAGTGAGGCAGCTTTGGTGAGAAGAAGGATGAGGGCCCCAGAGATGTACAGAAAAGACAGGATGGGGATGCTGAAGAACCACAGAGCCTCTATCAATGGGCACGTCTATGATCATGAGGTGAGCTGCAGTTCTACTTATGAGGAATAACGTCCCTCACACTGAAAATACTGTTTACTTCAACTGAGCATTTAAGTCAGTAATAACAATGATAGCAAATGCCTAACGTTCATCCCTTTTTTTCCTCTGCAGTAACAAATAAACTAAATTTAAATACAGTCTTATTCACTTCTTTCTTTGTTAGCTTTGCTAAGCACAGATTTAAATTTAGAATGCATAGGACCTGAGCAGGTTCAAGTCAGCCAGGCTCCCTACACTAAGATGGGAGGAAGTAGACAAAAGATCCCACTCCTGACTGAGAAGCTGTCTGCAATTGATACCTGCTGACAAAGGAAAATCAGTTTCCTCCAGTGGAATGTCACTGGGTATATCAACCACACTCCAGGGCAGGCCCCATGCCCAGAATAGCTGGCCAACACAAAATGAACTCCATTTTTTTTAATAAACATTAATGTTTTGCCCGCATGTCTGTGTGTGTGTGTGTGTGTGTGTGTGTGTGTGTGTGTGTGTGTGAGGGTTGCAAACAGATCTGGAACTGGAGTTGCAAACAGTTGTGAGCCACTATGTGGGTACTGGGAATTGAACTCAGGTCCTCTGAAAGAGGGGTCAATGCTCTTAACTGCTGAGCCATCTCTCCAGCCCTCCATTGGGGGATGCTTTTTGTCTCATTTTGATTTGTTTGGGCATTTTTTATCTTGTTGATTTTTTTGTCTTGGGTGTTTTGGTTTTTGGTTATGGGTTTTTTTTTCTTTGCTACTTGAAAGAAAATCAAAATACATTGTGTGAAAATTTTTAAATAAAATAAATAAACGAATTAAGCAGTACCTACTTGCCAGATATTGCTATAGAATGCAGGCCAGCCTCAAGTGCTAAGATTACAGACATGTGCTACCAAACCTACCTTTAAACATAGTTTTAATCATAAAACCTCTTCCATGAGGGTGGGTATCATTTTTTCTTCTTTACATATAATCAAAGTTCATAGACATGAAGCAATTTCTCTTGGGTCATGCTGCTTTTAATAATAACTCTGAACTTGACCCTGCCATATTTGTGTCACGCTAGAACTCAAGTTACTAACCATTGCGACGGATGAGTTCCGTCAGGTGCTGGGTGCTCAACCGAGCCTTGGAAATACACAGATGGGCTTCCTGAGGTGTGGGTACACAGTTTACAGAGGAAAGCCAGCAGACCAACAAATGTCAGAGTCACACAAAGGCTCTCACAGAGGTGTCTTAAAGACATTCAAGCTGCTGATTTTACAGAGACAGACATCTCATTCTGCATCGTCCCCTTTAGGTCTCCACTCACACGGAAGTTGGTTATGCAAATGTGGCAACGATTTAGACAAAATTTCTGTTCTGAGTTTTCTTTTGCTACGATGTGCAAAATGTACACATGCCTTTCTGTAACACTTATTATAAGATATCTCACTTGCCGAAGGTAAGAAACATATCATCCTTTCTCCCAGGATTCAGAGCTCTTTCATGCTGCAGGGTCTAGCAATCACTTGTGTATTCATTTGACAAGTACTAGTTCGCTGCTAGAGCGTCAAGTGCTCTCAGCACTGACTCACTCCCAGCCCCTAAACATGTAACATTTATATCCTATAATTTAAAATTCATTCTTATTGATTGTCATAAGAATTAAGTCAATGTTTACAAAGGCCTTAGAATGTTTTATATAACACTTGGCATCACCATTCATACAGTAACTATTATTAAATCTGTATTTATCTGTGAATAACTGTGACATCATGAGGAGTCGCGTCATCACTTCTTAGATTTACATTTTCCCCCACTTCAGGTTCACAATAGTGGCGACTGTTAGCTGATAGAGTCTTGAGCGCTCACATGATTTGTCATTGTCTTTTAGACATCCGTCTTCACCCCGACCTTTGGGTCAGAGACTAAGGTCAGAGCCAACAGCATCATGAGAACTGAAGAAGTAATAAAGCAAATTCTCCAAAAATTTAAGGTAATCGTGACCACTACCCCAAGCTTTACAAGTAAAAGCTAATGGAGACACACAAATGTAGTTTTAGGGAAAAGAGCTGAGGACCTTGAACCAACATCATATGCTCAATTCTAATGAATGAGAATTTCCTCAGATTTCCTCGGGCAGCTGCAGCCCCCAGGAGCTGAGAAGATGTCAGGCTGACAGTGAAGGGGCAATGGGACCCCCCCTAAATACTTTGGGTCTAATAACATCATCTGAGATAATTACATTTATTCCATTTTTTTTCCATTGGCAGATTGAGAATAGCCCTAAGGATTTCGCTCTTTACATTATTTTCGGGACAGGAGGTAAGAGAATTTGACCACCCCAGTGTGTTAGTTTTCTGTCCATAAGGAAGGCAGAAGCACAGGCAACTTGAATCTGTCAACAAAGGAAAGAAAGGAGAGGTGGGAAAGGGTTCATTATCATGGTTATTGATTACAGTTTCAGTGTAAGCCTAACACACAGTTTACCATTGAGCTATATATACTCCCATCCTGGAGAGATGGTTCTGAAATATCATACATTTATCTTGTCCAATTCCAGGGAGAGATAACTTAGGATAAATACTTTCCAGGAGGTTATGGTACAAAGGACGTTGCTTGTTTTCCGGACTTTAAGTTGTCTGAGTGGAGATCAGAATTTCAGGAATCCATTCATGGAGGGCAGTCCAGGAGGTGTTGGGCTCCCTGTGTGACACCTCTGCACCTATCTCCTGTCCCTCCTTGCCCTAGCATGGTGGTCATCACAACATACCACCTCTCTGACCCTGTCAGTTTGCTCTTCCTTGTTACCAAATCTGACATATCATAAAACTATGACCTCTCCCTCAGGAGAGAACATGTACAGAACCCAGGGGCGGGGCAATGGGGGATATGTTTTCAGTAATGGTTCCAGATCATCAAGAAGCAAGAAGCTTGGGAATGTCAGCTATGGAAGCGGCTAGGGTGTGAAACCAGGTTAGCGTTAGACTTAAAGGTGAAGACAGGATTCTGCTGCTCTGAGGAGGGAACAGAATCGTGAGGGCTTCCTGGTGCTCCAGACATGGCAGGGGACAGAAATCAGTGCATAATGAATGGGATGGGAAATAAGAATAAATCGAATCCCGAGATGAGAAACAGATTTGCTCATTCCGAGGAAGGGGGTGAGGAAAGAAGAGAAGTTGGAGGACCGGGAGCTTTTCTCTGTGTCTCACTTTTATTAAAATGAAATCCCAGATGGAAGATCGCTTTGACAAAGTATCAGAGGTGCTTTCGTAGTAGGGCATTTATTCTAACGTTTTACATTTGAAATTCTGAAACTGTATCCATTTTCTTTTGTCTCCTTTTCATGGCTGAAGGTACTAAACCCACAGATAATGAAAAGAACTAACCTCACTAATTCTGCATTTATAGTTTAGTTCTTGGAAAACCCAAGAGCTGAATGAGAGATAGGAACAAAAAGAGGAGTTAAGAACAACTATAAAAATGGAATTGCGTTAACTGAACTTGAAAATAAATGTTTGTTGAGTCAATGTATGAATGAATGAATGAATGAATGAATGAATGAATGAACGAATGAACGAAGCTATGTTGTTCCTCAGTAAGACTGGAGCTTTATCTAAATAGCTGAAATTAAGGTCAAATTATTTGAACTAGTAAGTCAGACCCTATATGGATAGGCAAAAGTTCATTTGGAGTTTATGCAAAGGTTTTTCTTTTTAATTTCAAATGATACAGATGTTTTCTTATCTAAAATATAAGGCTACTGTTAGCCAGTGTCAAACAGTCCAAGAACATTGAGTGGACTTTTCCAGAAATGAAAATTCATACGCTTTAAATTGTGTACCATCAGAGTATAGTGATGAACTCTTGTCCTGTCTGTCACTGCCCCTCCTGGGATGATTCATCCATTTGTCCATTGTATCCACACTGTAGACACAACCACCCTATTAGTCACTTAGTATCGGCTTAGTTAGCCAGTTCACCATTGAAGTGCCACAGTGTTAGTCTTCAAATAATACTTAGGCAGGAGATGTAAATGACCTCGAAGTATAAAAGCAATAACACTGACAGTTTTATTAAATTATATTGTGGTTGTTCTATTTTGTTGCTAGTGATGCTCTCCTCTTACTGTGACCAATTTATAAATTAAACGTTACTGTAGATACCTATGTGTATGTATAGGACAGTCAGATGTATGGCATTATATATCATCTACAGTGTCACATGTTCATTGAGATCTAGGAATGTATCAACCATGGGTAATGGGGCATGAGTCTCCTTTTTGCATGATAGGGGGTTCTCAGATTCTGATGCTTCTAAAACAAACCAAAGGAAGACCAAAAGACAAAATTACCTTTTTTTTCTTTTTCTGGAATTAACTCTTACTGGGGTTCATTCTTTTCCATCTGCAGAACAGAGAAAGCTAAAGAAGACTGATGTCCCACTGCTGCAGAGGCTAATACAAGGACCATCCAAAAGCAACGCTCGGATCTTCCTCATGGATAAAGATGCAGAAGAAATCAGCAGTGATGTATGGATGCCTGCGGGGCTCCTGACACCCGCGACCTTAGTATATGTTTGCACTTGCGCGTCTCCCGCTGACTGGGTACTTTTTAATGTAAAACCTCCTGTTTTCCTTTTCAGGTGGCTCCGTACATTAATTTTCACTTTTCCTTCTTGAAATCCATCCTTCAAAAATTAGATGAAGAAGAGAAAATGGAGACCGAGAGAATTATGGCAAAGTGAGTCCAGAGTGGACCCCTGGGTATTTCATCCTTCTGTAGGTTCCGCGCCCTCTGGGTACCTGGTTTTTTATATTCTTGCTCTCCTTTTCAGATTCAATACCGAAAGGGCCTTTATATTGAAGTGTCTTCAGAGTAAACAGACAGCAAAAACAGAGACCACAGTCTAGAAGCGCAGCAACTCCTGCTAGTAAGCCCTCCTCAGAGGAGTTAGAGGAGGAACTGCTAAATCAGTGCATGGTCTGCTCTGCATCCTAAATATGCAGGACCTTGAAGTTTTGGAAAACTGAATGCCAAGCAGCCTGCTTCCCCTTTGAAATGCTGAAGTTGGCTGTGGTTCAGAGTTGGACTAAGGCAAGATGGGACTTCACTTCAGTAACTGAGGGAAGCCTGCATACTGAGTATTTGAAATGTCATCGATAGCAAGTTCCCGAGTGAGCTCAGACTGAAGTGGACTCTGCTCTTATCACAGGGTTTAAACTTGTTTTATCTTGCACTCTTAAAAGAGCCGAGATACTTGATGACTCATAAATGATGGAAAGCAAACATTTCCAGTTCTTGATGTCAACAAGAAACACATTCTCAAGCCATCAGGGATCTGAACTGACCATGTTTACAGCTGTGTAAACATTTGAACATTTTCATAAAATTTAGAAATAGATCTACAAGGGCTAATGATTTTTAACTCTGGAGTATCAGAGCTACATGACATTTTAGAATAAAATGGTTTTGGACTTTGTAAAGAAACCTAAACTCTGGGCTGGAGAGATGGCTACGTGGTTAAAAGCATTGCCTGCTCTTCCAGAAAACCCGGGTTCAGTTCCCAACACCTATAGAGCACCTCAGAGTCATCTGTAGTTCCTGTCCTAGAGGAACTGATATCCACCTATGTGGGCACTGCAAGCACATGGTGCACAGACACACAGGCAGGCAAAACAGCTATACATGTAAAAAATAAAAATAAAAAAATATTATTTATAAAAATATCTAAACTCTGATTGTCCAGTCTCTTCATTTGTCTCCATGCCCTTCTGTGGCACTGATGACTTCCAAGCTGTTTTTAAAAGTCTTTCAAAGTGGGTTGTATTCAATGTCTTTCTTTATCCTTATAAACAAATACATACCACAAGTATAAAACACACTGTATTTGCTAGAAGAGGACTTACCGCAAATGCCTCATTGTTGCTGATGATTCCTGGAGATAAAGCCTCGCTGCTGTAGCTGAGACAGGCCGCACATCACAGCATCCCTGCTGTTGTATAAGACACTCTCGAGTCTCACAGGTCTGCTGATCCCACTTGGAAAAAATAAAAATATTATAGGATTTTATTTCTAAACTCTTTATCAACATGGAGTTTTAATCAGTATTATTCTATTCCCCAAATGACTTCCATTTGAATTTTGTCTTAAGTTGTTCAGTCGTATTACCTGTACTGAGGTAAGGTTGTATTATCAACATTAAATTGTGGGACAGTTCTATCAGTAAGCTATTTATTGTCAGCATCACCAGAATGCAAGTTCTGACTGACAGTATAAAGAACACTGTGACCTTTTTGTTCAGGAAGTCTCCCTCACTGGTTGAAACAAACTGTTACATTTCTAATGCTTTACCTATTGATCAAGAAAAGCATGGTTTCATCTCACTAAAAATGGACCAAAAATCATAATATATTAATATAAAACCTATCCAAGCATGGTGGCATATCCTTGTAATCTTACCCCCAGGAGGCAAACTCATGGAAAAGAAAATGCAAGTAACTGCTAAGTGTATGCAGAGTCTGGTATCCAACAGTGACCAACTGTATTCATCAGTTCAGATCAGTAAAGAGAAACCGTGCAGTAACATAAAGTAAGTTTAGCATGAAGAATTACTAAACTATGTTAGGATAGTAGCAGAAAAGACAGAAATAGAGCTCTAATGGGTACCTGGCAAAGCCAACCCCACACGGCCCTGTCTTGAGTGTTCGTGGAGATGAGGACTAAATATAGACACGAGGATTCTGGCTAAAGATCTAGCCTGCACTGGGTTCCGGTTATACCACCACTGCCAGAATGAAAAGCTGGAGAAACAGGCAAGGTAAACAGAATCACAGAAACCTGCACCTCACAGGCTGCAAGCACTGGAGAAACCCCTGGGTGCAGGGTGAAGACGGAAAAATCCGGTCTCCAGGAGCCCTGGATGCCTTAAAGGCCTCCAGCCGCTATGTTTTATAGTGCGCCCTCTGCTGGCAAAATATGATATTGTGCAAGCTGCGAAAGAAGCTTCCAGAACCCCACCACCTAGGTTTTCACAGGGCCGATTTCAAATGGAATTTGGGCAGAGAAAATTAAAGCTGCCATATCAACGCAACAAAATACCTATTAGCAGAAACTAAACTATTCAACAGATAGTGACAATGTTTGTTGTGTTGAAGGGAATTTTTTTCCCTTCAACACAAGTTAGATGTTAAATTTATCCTACAATTCTATATGTAAGATATTATATGGTCATCAGAGATACCAAGGCTTTCTTCAAAGTTGTTTACTACACTGATGCTACCGTCATTAAAATTATATTTTAATAATAGGGTTAAATTTTCTTTATAAGTATAAGAATATATAATCATATGGTAAAATACTCATCCATTAGGCTATTGTTTACTTGTGTATTTGCACACTAATGCTGTGTATCCACTCACAAACCCGAAACAAGTTATGTATAAATTATAGAATTATTTCTGATTCATGTTTTTCCAACTTTTTATATTTATTGAGTACTATACCATTATTCATTAGTTTTTCAATCAGGAAAGAGAAAATACATTGCATGAAAGTTATCCACAAAGAGTAAGAAGTATATTCAAGAATAGATTTCCACTAGATACAAAATGTTTTTAGTTAATTATTCAAATGACACATCGACCTTACCTCTGTGATATTTAACAAATCTTTCTTATCTGTCCCCCATAATCCTTCTGCAAATCGGCTAAACATAATGATTGACTTTTATTTTTAATTGAGAGACAATTGGAAAGGTATGGGATTTGATGTGCTGCTGTCGGTTAGGATGTGTAATGATTGATCCCGCAAGTTAATCACACCACGTGCTTATGACATGCTTTCAGCATCTAGAAATGCTAAGGGACAGAGCAAAGCAGAAGGGAGAGCGTGTGCCTCACAGAGCTGCTAAGGCTCCTCGAATGCTCTGCCGGGTCGCTTCCTTAGGCATGTGATGGTTTGAGCCCACCGGGAAAGCCTGTTTGATCCAGCCCTACTGCACCATTCTACAGAAACCCAGCAGGCTCTCCTGTAGACAGCTCTAGAATGTCGGGTTCTCTCAAAGTGGATCTCTGGCCTTCAAAGGCCAGAACTTATCCTAGCACTTTTGGTGCAACTTCCTGAGTGACTCTGGGCCAGAAAATCATTCTCCAGTTACTGGTCTTCAGAAACCATGAGATCAGAAACGTTAGCTGGAGCCGGGCAGTGGTGGCACACGCCTTTAATCCCAGCACTCGAGAGGCAGAGGCAGGCGTATTTCTGAGTTCGAGGCCAGCCTGGTCTACAGAGTGAGTTCCAGGACAGCTAGGACTACACAGAGAAACCCTGTCTCGAAAAACCAAAAAATAGAAAGAAAAGAAAAGAAAAGAAAAGAAAAGAAAAGAAAGAAAGAAAGAAAGAAAGAAAGAAAGAAAGAAAGAAAGAAAGAAAGAGAAAGAAAGAAACGTTAGCTGGGTTGTGGAGCTAACTGTTAAGATGGCTACACAGGAAAAAAAAATGATAACTAATGCGGTTTCTAAGGCCAAATCTATTTCAGCTGGTTTTGCATGGTGCCAGACCATAGACATTTTGTCAAAAAAAAGCTCTTCCTTGTTTTAGGTGGTCCAAATATGTCATTATCAGTTGCATATGAATTAAAATTAAACTCCAGATATCATACTATGGTTACTAATCATAGAGTCTGTTGCATTTTACAGTTGTATTTTTTATATTTCATACTATATCTTGTACATAGGATATGCTCAATAAAATTAATAAATTCATGAATTAATTATATAAAACACTCTTATAAACTCAGCTGTGCATACCTCTTCTTATTGACAAGTCTGATTCAGTAACTAGCAACTTTGTTATGTATTTTACTTAACATCAACTACCCCCACCAAAAAAAAAAAACCACCCAAAATATATTTTATTAGCTCAGGACTCTGAAGAATTCAGTTAGCCAGCATTACTTCGAAAGTAGTTGCAGGCTGTGATTTGTATGAGAATCTGAAGGGGACAGCATGCCCTGTGTGAGGCGGCTGATGAAGGGGAAAAACCACAGGTTTAACTACTAATATGTTAAAGTGTGTACACAGGAAACATATGATATGATGTAGTTAGAAAAGAAACCTCCAGGACCATCCATTTGTACACTCAATGGTATTTAATACATTAGGGTTGAGCCCCAGACATCAATACTTGAGCAACACAACCTGAGAGTCATATAATTGTTGTACCGTTTGCCTTCTGCCTTGCACAGCTTTATATAGGTGCTAGTGTACTGATCATGCAATCTCATGAAGAAATTATTCTTTAAATTCCATTTTATATATGAAGAAAGTAATCCTTGAAAGGCTAAGAGATTGACTGAGATATTAATTAGAAGAAATGGGTAGGATTTGAACCCATTGATGGATGTTAAGAGTTGAATTCTAGGAGACTGGTTGCAGGAGTCTGCTCAGACATTACCATCTAAGGGTGCTAAAGTACTTCCTTAAAAATGGACAGTCTGCATGTAAACTGCAGCCTCCCAGAAACTCTGTCATCTCTAGCTTACTTATAACTAGGACAATGTATGTGATGTGCAAATACTGTTATACTGTATTGATTAGGGGATAAAGACAAGGAAAACTCTATTTGGTATATAAGTATCTTTCCTCCACAGTCAGCTGACTACACAGGAACAGCATCTGCAGAGGAGAGATGCCTGTAGCTGTTTCATTGAACAGTTGTGAGCACAGTGTGAATAACACATGTAAATGCCGGTGCTTTGCATATAAGAAGCATGGGGGGAAAATATCTGTTATATTTAAATCAGCTTACAACACATGCATCCCTCCACCATTGCAGCCTTCTCTTCCACTAAGACTCATTGCCCACAACCACTTTGGGTTTTTTTCTTACATCTAGCCCTAAGTTTGGGCTGAGGAATCATATTGGGATGAGGAGCCATATTGGGCTGAGGAAATGGCTCAGAGGTAAAGTGCTTGCTGTGGAAGCATGAGGATCTGAGTTCAAATTCCCAGAATACATGTAAAGCCAGATGTGATAATGCACATCTGTAATCCCAGGGCTCCTAGCACAAGACAGGAAAACCAGAGAGTCCTGAGAAACTTGTTGTCCAGCTATCCCCGTGTACCCAGTGGCAAACAAGGGAGTGGGAGATTGTAGGCACCTAGTTTTTCCTGTTACTGCCAGACAGCTACCACGGCATTCGTGTGCCCACACTCAAACACAAAGATGCACACACAAGATTTAAAACACAATATAAGAACAGAAGGCCAATGGATCACTCACACTCTCTGAATCACCCTCACTGCCAGCTGTGGAAGCCATTCTTGCTGTCTAGTTCTGAGCAAGTCTCCGTTTTCCATCCTTCAGTGACCTTTCTAGGTCTATGTTACAGTGAGTGATCTCAAACCCCTGTGCACTGTGATCCTTTGCTCCACTTTCCAAATGTTGGACATGTGAACTATGCCTTTGCTGTAATGCTTTAAATTGATTGTGTCCTATATCAGGTCATCCGTGGCTTAGGCTGCCTGTATTCATCTTTATTTTATCTATTTTATCGTGTGTGTGTGTGTGTGTGTGTGTGTGTGTGTGTGTGTGTGTGTGTACGTACAAGCACACATGTGAGAACAGGTCCTGATAGAGGCCAGAAGAGTGATCCTCCAAACAGGAGTCATAAGCAGCAGTGAGTTGCTGGATATGGGTGTGAAGAAGCAATTTTGAGCCCTCTAAAAAAAAAAAACAAAAACAAAAACAAAACTGTATGTGTTCTTAACAGCTGAGCTATCTCTCTGGTCTCCACCGACGTATTTTACACAGGGTGTTGCATGTATGGGATAGTCAACAAATATGAATGTTGCTAATGCATGTAAGCATATTAATAACTCTGGAGTAGGAAAAAAAAACAAGTTCAAATTAAGACCATCGTTAAAAGATTTCTGTTTCTCCGATCAAAATAATACACTTATTCAGTAAGTGATGTGTTTATAAAAAGATAAAGATGGGTGAGAATAGGGTTATTAACTACCCCTACCAGTATCCTGAGGCTATTATTAATAACCAGAGAGATTTCTAGCACAGGCCAGACAGCCAGGTCATCACGTGGGCCAGGTTCCCTGAGCTACAGAGAGCAGTTTACCCAGGCCTGGGGTTTCTCCACAGCTAGAATGAAACTGTCTCAAAGGAAAGAGGAAAATATCATCCAAGAGAAAAAGTCCTAGAACGAGAGTCAGTGAAAAGACTGTCTCCATCCACAAGGACAGCACTGCGGTAACTCTGAGCGCAAGAACTCTCCCCTGGGACCATGGGGACATTTGCTCTGACCAGTATGGGGAGGGGGCTTACCAGTTCTCCGAAGTTTGGGCTAGCAAGTGTTGGATCTCCATGTTGTAGCAGGGGGGATGTAAACCTCCAGAGTTTCTAAATCCAAGTCTCGGAACCATATGATGTGTTTATAAAAAGATAGAGAGAGGGGATATGTTTGGTGATGTATGGTGAGGTGTGGGGGATGGGGTGCCTCTGTGGGCCCATGCTGAGGCATCCCTTCCCACTGAGGGACCAGCCACATGATGGTATAGTATAACATAGAGTTTATTCAGGGCATGGAGAGCAGAGTTAAGGGGATAGTAGAAGCAGAGAAAGAGAGAGAGAGTAAAGAAGTAGAGGCCAGCCATGAGCAGGTGGAGAGAGGAGGAAGGGACAAAGGGACAGAGCAGAAGCAAGAAGGCAAGAGCAAGAGAGAGAAGAGGGGGCAAGCAGCCCTTTTTATAGTGAGTCACTGTGGGGCAGAGCTTAGACAAAATGCTAACAGTAAGTACTAAACTATTACTGCTTATGTTATTAATATTAATACATTTTATTATTATTAGTTTACATAATTAAATTAATATTTTAAAATAAAAAAATTTAAGTTCCAATTATAAATCCGTTGTGTCATTTTCAGTACAATTTTATTGCTCAAGTTAATACAAACGTATTGGGTGCCATTGCTGGCAATGGCAACCTTGAATACACACAGAACCAGGAGCTAGAGCCTAGACACGAAGGTAACTTTATTTGTCTGTTTCCCTCTGTTCAGTCATTCTCAGAAGTGGTGCAGACAGCTCCACGACTTTCAAGTCACAGCCATTCCTGGCGAGGTGTGGCTGCACATTAAATTGGCTGGAGGACTTGAATGTTCTTTGTGTTCATGTCTCTGCCACTGCCCTTGAGAAGCAGGCTGTGAGGTGGGACAGCTTTGAAGGGCTGATCTGGGAGTCCATATGTCATCTGCTGAGGGGAAACGAAGGATCGTGCAGACCAGCCAGTGTTCTGCTACAGCTCTGAGCCACTGAGAAGGCTCTCTGTCAACTGTCACCTTCCATAGCTCTGATCTCAGTCATGATCCTACATCAACCGCTACGGGATGAGTCAGCCTCTAAGAGGGACTGGCACCTCGTGATCAGTTGAGGTCCCTAGGGAAAAGAACAGGCATACCTGTGAGAGGGAAGAAGTCAAAACTACAATGGTCCTGGCCTCTAAACAGAAACAACTTGGGCTTCCATGTTGGATCCTGAGGTGGCTCCATGATGCCCCTTCCTCTGGGTGTCAGACTTCCCCACAGGCCTGGTGACTTAAAGACTCAGTTAACTGTAAGTCCTTTCTCCCTTTCAGCCTATCGGAACTAAAATATTTTCACTTCTCAAGATGGCCAGGCTCTTTTGCTGCAGGACAACACACACATACATGTACACACATACAAACAGATGTACTCGTATATATCCACACACAGATGTACACATACACATGGCACACACACATACATGTGAGCTGGCTTGCCTTCCTAAGCACCCAGTAGCATTCCTGGGAGAAGGCTGAGTGCATTTGTTTAGCCCTTCCTCCTGGCCTCTGACATCATCACAGACCATCATTTAGGCAGAGCAGCCTTTTCAGGCTTGCTTTGACATAAGCTTCTAGACTTTAAGAAATCCCTCCTCCTTCGATAACCTGTAAATTTTAAAGTCAATTTTCTTTCCTCCTTTTTTTTAAAAAAAAGTATCTACCTTTATTTTATGTGCATTGGTGTTTTGACAGCATATATGTGTGAGAATATCAGACCTTGGAGTTACAGACAGTTGTGAGCTGCCATGTGGGTACTGGGATTTGAACCAGGGTCCTCTGGAAGAGCAATTAGTGCCCTTAACCATTGAGCTATCTCTCCACTCCCCTTTTAAGTAAATTTTCATGGGAAGTCCATGCATAAGCTTAACCAGAGGCCTAATTTATTCTTCACTTCTCTGAAGTTAATAGTAACAGAAGTCTGGTCTGCATCTGTCTTTTCTGATCTTATGTATCCCATAGTTCCTAGGTAAACTTGTAATTGTTACAATAACCAGTAATGTGAAAATATGTTTCTGGCTAAGGTAAGTTAGGGGGACGGCAACCAGGAAAACCAATTTATTTATTCTTTTATGCTGTTGTGGATTAAAGTTAGGGTTGTGAGCCAAGCAAAGGCTCCATCAGGAAGCTATGCAACTGTGTCCAGAGCCTAGAAAAGCAGAAAGCAATCTAATAATGAAGACAGCCCTGAATAAAAGGAGAACTACACAGCCTGACATAAAGTCCTCACAAGACTGCCAGAGAAAAATGGATGTGGGCTGGATGGACATGCCCAGGGCTGCCTGAAGAAGACACCCTATAAGGTCAGCCAACAATCAGGTCTAATGGTAACTCAGTCTAAATTGAAATATAGTGCAACATTTATTACAGAAACTATGTAAATAAAACGCAGAGTTATTCCAAATGTGTGAGAAAAGTAGCTGATTGTGCTTGGTTTGTGAGCATGGGATAGGGGCAATTAAATACTCTCAGGAAGGAAGGAGATATCCGGAACTCCAATGCCAAATCCTAAAACTACACACACATACCATCATTTTACTCTGCCAATGGTAGCCTACAAGAGAGACCAGTGGCTCTCACTGACCAGGTGGCTGCTGAAATGTCTCTTTTGAGAGATAACAGGAAGTTTCTGACCTTTAGCTATCTAGCCTGCTATTATAAATAATATTTCCAGTACATCTGCCATTGAAAAGTCTACAGGTTTCTAATTTTAGTAGCAACCTGCTAACGGAGAACATACGTGTTCCAGTTATGAAGTAGGTTCTTTAAACCAGGCCATGTAAAAGAGTACACTATAGTATACTATACACTATAATATATAATCCACTATATTAATTAAATGATGATAATATTTCTTAAAATTATTCCAAGATTCATAAGAGGATGAAAAGACTTTAAAAAAATTTTGTCTCTTAGAAATAGGGAATGTATCCTGTTCTTCTTTGTGTTGCAAGCCATTGTGTATTACTTAATTTTCAACTTAATGGAATTTATCAAAAAAAAAAAACTGAGGTCAGTAACTCAATGTGACGTGATCAATATATATATATATACTTAGCTAATCATCTTACTTAACCAGATCATCATTTTTTTCATAATTGTATCGTACAATTACAGTAGCTTAGACAGTGGGCTCATTAACCTGGGTTGACTCTCCATGTGTAGAGTCTAGACTATTAAAATCATAGGTAGTTTCGTTCTGTGTTAACCTGGGTTGAGACGAATCTCAGAGAAAGATTAGCCTTTCATACTTGCTTCACTTTGATAAGCAAGCACATTTCATCACACCCGACCTCTGCTAACTCACGGTAACTTTGTTTGGTTCTCAAGTCCTGTTAGGTGATGAGTAGGTCCGGCGTGGTTATCCTTCCTCACAGAAGATTTTTCACGATTAGACTACAGAATTTCTGTGGATAGAATGCTTTCCTTGTGCCAGCTGACACTTGTCCCTATACTCCCATTGTTTCCTGAACCATGGAGTCTCCTTCCTTGGACTGTCCAGCTTTAACCTGGTGCTACACACTAGCGCCTCTCTTCCTCAGGAAAAACAGACTGGGTGCCAGGTTGTTTCATCTCCATGTTTTGGTTATTCTGGCTGGCATTCTGACACTGACTCTGATTTGCCTCCGTTTCCTTCTTACAGCTTTTCTGTTATGGAGTTACACATTAAAACATATCTTCTAAGAGGCTTTCTCCTCTCCCTGGCCTTCGAGAAAATGGCAGGTTTCAAGCTCACTCAAGGTCTCCTGTAGCAGGTAGAACAGGTTTACACAACTGACAATTACAAACAAAGGTGCTGCCTGCAGTTGGCCTCCAGAGTTCTTTGCAGCCTCCACAGGTGGCCAGCAGGCTGAGCCCTCTCCTGGAATCTCAGTTCCAGGAAGACTCTTGGTACATTGCAACATACTGTTCTCTACTCAAACCCAGAATCTGTCAGCCAACACAGAAACCAGAGGTACAAACTCCAAAATATTTTCTTCATTGATTCCTGCATTTTAGGCTAACCTCTTTATGCATTACACAGTTTGTTTTAAAACATATTCTAGCCTTAAATATGGATATTTAAGATCCCCCAGTTCTACCATTTTCTTCCATATTGGTGGTGTTTTCCAATGGCTTCTTTATTTCTACTACTGTCCTTTCTTCTGGCTTTCACCCCAAGCCAGACCTAAGGAAATACCGGGAGGGGTAGAGGGTGATCTGTTCACCTTCACAACAGAAAGGGGTTCCTGGAATGTTGTCCTCACACACCACGCCACCACCAGCATCAGTGCCTGGGAACTTGCTAGAAACATGGAGTCATCAGACTCCACAAAGACCTACTGAATCAACACCCCTGTGAGCAGAGCACGCTGGCTTTGTTTTCCCTGCCGTCCAGATCATACTAAAATCTGACAAGCCTGGTCTGAAATGAACACAGAAAAGTAATCATGACCAAACGAGAAAGAATGCGGTGGAAAGACGAGTTAGCATCCATAAATCCTAGCGACTTTTAACTTATATAACATAGCATTCAGATAGCTTCTACGGCCTTCTCAAATGAGGAGGAATCTCAGAAGAAACGGGGGAAGGAAAAGACCTTTATAACTAATAAGGGAAAATAAACATTACAGCTTGCCAACTCTTACACAGACTGTCTAGATAGCCCCCAATTCATGATGGTTTGACTTAGAATTTTTTTTTTACTTATGTGAAAGCCATACGTGGTTAAATTTGGATTTATATATTTTCCCAAGCTTGTAACAAATGTACTGTCCCCTTAAGGCGCTGGGCAGCAGCAGTGAGTCCCAGTTCCCACTCAGACACACAAGAAGTGTGAACAGCCACGCTCAGATGTGAGGAGTGCTGTTAAACGGTGCTGCCTGGCACTCGTTTTAAATGAATATTTAATTTGCCTTTATTCTAACTTATAGTGGATCTATCAGGACGTCACCCCATTGTTGAGAGAGATCTGTTAGGTGTTTGACTTTTACTGGAAGCAAAAGTTCAGAGAAGAAGCAGAAAGGAGCAAGTAATGAAAGCAATTATGAAGATTATTATCTTTAAAAATATTCCTGAGAACCACTGCTAAACAGAGCTCTGGCCAGCCCCAGCCTGCCTTGCCAAATGTACAGGAGCCTGTGTCTCAACCACACAGTCACATGCCCCTGTGACTACCGCCCAGTCAAGTCCTCAGACAAGCTGTCCCTCCGGCTCTCCTGTATCCGGTCCTCACTGAGATGCTTCATAGGTTTGCTGAGACACATCCTATGACATCCTCAGCAACTTTACAATCCTGTGAAAAATCATTTACTCGTTAACTGCACACAACAGCATTAATTATAGAGAATTGGCTTCCTGGTAGTTAATTGTGTGTGTGCTCATATGTGAGTGTGTGTGTGTGTGCAGTCTGATCCTGTTCTTCCCTTTCTGTATTCCTGAGCTCCAACGTTCATGAAGTTCTGCCCACTGAGGAAATAAAATTCTTTTTATCTGATTCCCCAGCTTATCTTCTCTAAAAGCAACAATTCCTGATGAAGCCCTAGAAATTCCTAGGGGAAAAAATAAATCTCACAATTTTCTCCAACAGAGGTTAAAACTGTCAATTTTTTTTTAATTTTAAATTTTTAAATGACTCTGTTTCTCTGCTCTTAGAACAGGCCTTCAATTCAACCTTCTGCTTCTTAGTTTCTCCTCCCAGCCCCCCCGCCCCGGTCTGGCACCAGAGTTATTGTGTCTAACTTTTCTATTTGTGTCTGATTCTTCTAATTTCTCCAAACATACATAAATGTTAAGATGCCCGAAGCCCAGGAACAGTACGTACTGTCACTCCCACCCATCCAGTCTGTGATCTTTCTCCTAATCTCACAGTTGCAACGGGGAAAGGGTAACACCCCAACACTCCTTTGCGTATTTGCTTGAGTAACACAGATACCTCTTCTTGAAAACACACTTCTCTCCTCTGTGCATGGCAGCACTTCTCCACCAGGTGCACAAAATCCTCGCCAATGGAATGGAATGCCTCCTCTGCTGCATGTGGCTTCTGCTTCACGAGGTCACTGAGGAGCCTAAAGCAGAAGTGGGGAGGGGTGTTAGCTCCCGAGTTTGCAAGGCCACCTTACTGATTTAGATCCGCAGAGCATCCTTGACTTCTCCACCCTGAGACACTCTTCAGGTTAAGGACATTGAAAAGTGACCCGTGCCCTCACTGTGCATGCAATGTTCGCCTCTCCGTTCATTTCATCTGAGCATTCCCGTCAGCTCTTCTTCTTAGCGTGATGAGCACATCGCTTTAGCTATCACTATATAACTCCTGCTAAGGGGAGCACCTTCGTTTCCTGCCATTTTCTTGCATATGGGTGAAATACAGTACCTTCATTTTCCCCCTCTTTTATTTTATATTTTGAGCAACTAGCTAACTTCCACGTGAACACCGCTAGTCTGACGTGGTGGAAACTGGGAGCCTCCTACATGTTGTTAAGACAAGACATATAGATGAATTTAAAGACGCAGTGGCTGACCTACCATCTCGGATTTCTCACAGATGACTCCAGCATGGCAAAAAGGAGCATTTCAGCCACCAGGCGTGTTCAGAATGCCAGTTTGGTTGAAGTGCCACTACTTACCCACATCTAAGCCTTCTAATTAACACTGATTACATTACCAATCTCTTCCTTCCTTCCTTCCTTCCTTCTTTCCTTCCTTCCTTCCTTCTTACCTTCCTTCCTTCCTTTCTTTTCCTAATTAGGACAAGAGAAATTTAACCACGGGAAAAATAAGAATGAAGAATAAGAAACAGGAAGTTGAGGCTATGGCTCAGCCAGTAAGAGTCTGGTGTGCAAATATGAGAATCTAAGTTTGGATATCAGCATCCACCTGGGAAACCAGTTTGGGCCCTTCCCTTGCCTATGGCACCAAGTCTGTGGGACTGGTGGAGACTGGATCACTAGCACTAGGGCTAGCCTAAATCCAGGTTCTTTGAGAGACCCTGTTTCAGGGGAATTACACAGAACATGATAGAGGGATACTCAATGCCCTCCTCTGATCTCTGCACATCCTTACACACGTGTGCATATACCACGCATGCACATACACACATACACGTACAAAAGGAATAGGGGACATATGCATTAATCAGTATTATACTTCCTATCTCAAAACCACTCTTCACCTTTTACAAACACACATTGGTAATTCCCAGTGCTCTAATACATGCCATAAATGGGTATAAAAGCAAATATTTCAAGGTTTTAAGCCATACTTCTTTGACCTCTGGGTTCAGACAGTAAATAGTTCAGGCTTTTCTGACTCAAAGACAAAATTGAGGATATTATTGAGTACTAATATTAGGAATTGGAAAACTCTAGCCCCACCCATCCTAGCTCACTGGACTGACATCGGCTGCCCCAAGTGGCAGAACTGGCAGTGGCAGTTATCATCAAGTGGGTACGAAGAAGCCACGTTAGATAATGCTATGGTCTATTTCTCTGTTCTCACGACACTCAGGTCTGAGCATGAATCCCTTCCCTGCTGTCTCAACATGGGAAGCTGGCCTGAAACAAGACAGGTCCCAGGGAACTCTGTTTCCAAGATTGAAATGCTTCCTGCTCTTTTCTGTCTCATGGCCACTACCACTCACAAGTCCCAAACATGTGTGATACAGACAGAACAGGTCCTGGGCCTTCCAAAGGCCAAACAGATCTCTCTGAGTTCAAAGCTAGCCTGGTTCACAGGGGGAGTTCCAAGTTAGTGGAGCCATGTAGTGCGACCCTGTCTCAGAACACAGAAAATATTCCTATCTTCTCCACCCCCAAAACCCATACTTTCACCTCATGTGAGGACACAGAATGCTGAGGCAGCGTGACTGTCATCAGTGAGACAGCACAGCCCACACCATCTTCAGAAACTTCCCGAAGACATGGCTGGCCTTTGAAGCATGATGTTGCCTACTTCTGAGAAGATATGTGGCAGAGTCAAGGGAGTTCAGGCCATTTCGTCTAAGCTGACATGTCCTAGGAATTTAGGTAAAAGCAGATACGGTGGCAGAGAGTATAAATGAAGATTTCTTTGTAGTAATTTATAATAGAAATTGAAGATAATGTTCATGTCTAACAATAGTAAGTGGTTAGAGTCATATAGCAGAACATTACATGCCATTGTGAAGGATAACTAGAGACAGAATGTATATAAAATATGCAGTGTAATATTTTAAAAAATAAAACAATGGAGCTAGCTGTCAGCTTTTGACATATGTTAATCTTTGCTGTATCTTAGCCAATGTACCCATAATTTTATTTATGATTTCAGTGTTATGATTTCTGTCTTCATCTGAAAGTGTCCCTCACTTTGCTTTTGTAACAGGGGCTTCAGATTCCTTGGACATAACTTACAAATCTGTGGGATGAGCTTCCATCACAAACTTCTGATTGATGTCTACCTAATGAGAGACGCTTGGTCTGGGGAGGCAGGGAGAGAGCTCTGTAGTTGCCTTCTAGGTCTCTCTCCATTAGACAACGTTCCAAAGCATACAGGGGTTGGGGGCTAACTAACTCTTTGAAAAAGTATGGAGGAAGCGTTTTCTAGAAACTCCTGCAAATCATTAAGGCACCTCAGCTCCATCATGGTGCCCCCTCGAAAACATGTCATCCTGGGAGGGGAGAGGGATGCTAGCTTTGTGGATGATGGTGGTGGCTGCAGGCCAGGACTACTCCCTGTGAGTCTGGAGTAGTGCCAGGGTAGCATGCTGGAATGCTTCTGAGGAGTGTGAGAGCGGAGGAGTGTCTCGTAAACTCCCTCCTGAGAGCTATAGGTGATTGCTGGCACAGAAGTGCTACATAAGCAGGCTGTAGCAGGGCCTGCATTATTAATCATAGGGAACCCAAAGGCTGGTGAGCAGGAAGCGTTTTGGTCGGGTGTGCTCACCAAACAAATATGACATCATAGACTCCTGTGTGACATGAGCACTTATAATGTGTATCTCTACACTGTTGGGCTTCAATGATGATTTTTTCTCTATTTGTCTGTATTTTACAAATGATCACAGTTCCTTTTCTCCTAAGAAGATTCAACTTAAAAAAAATCAGAACATAATATAACATAATCTTTCTTGCCAACTGTTCTATCCATAATTCAGTCTTCATTCTTAAGTTGCCCTAACCTGAGTCTGTCTAGAATGAAGACAGCATGTTTGTGTTTCTGTGCCATTTAATCTACATAGCGTGGGTGTATAATCCAACCAGTTTATTCTACCTTTGAATGATAATTATCAGATTCTAACAAATTGATTATTCAGAGTGAGGAACACAGACTTCCTCCCATTGCGGTTGGGTATGTATGTGTATATGTAAATATATATATATATATATATATATATATATATATATATATATATATACAGACATGCATATATAAATACTGTACTGGCTGGTTTTGTGTGTCAACTTGACACAAGCTGGAGTTATCACAGAGAAAGGAGCTTCAGTGGAGGAAATGCCTCCATGAGATCCAGCTGTAAGGCAATTTCTCAATTAGTGATCAAGGGGGGAGGGCCCATTGTGGGTGGTGCCATCCCTGGGCTGGTCGACATGGGTTTTATAAGAAAGCAAGCTAAGCAAGCCAGGGGAAGCAAGCCAGTAAGTAACATCTCTCCATGGCCTCTGCATCAGCTCCTGCTTCCTGACCTGCTTGAGTTCCAGTCCTGACTTTGATGATAAACAGCAAGTGGAAATGTAAGCTGAATCAACCCTTTCCTCCATAACTTGCTTCTTGTCATGATGTTTGTGCAGGAATAGAAACCCTAACTAAGACACATACATACATATTCCTACTAAAACAATTACTTATGGCACTGAAGTGTGCTGGGCAAGGTGCCAGGAGAGGAGTCTAACCTGAGTCCCAGGCCACAGAAACAGACATACATGTCCTTGTGAGTGTATTTGTCAGAGATTCTGAAGCTCATGCATCCAGCTGTACTAGCTGATCAGGCAGGCCCAGAGATCATCCTGTCTCTGCCTCTGTTGTTGCAGGTGCATGAAGCTTCACTTAGGTTCCGCAGGTGCTAGAGAGGTCTCATGCTCCCACAGTAAGCACATTAGCACCCGAGCCATCTCTCCAAACCTAGAACTGACTCGTCCTATAAACGGAAATGTGTACATGTTGACAAGCTTTTCCTCATTTCTCTTACTCTACTGTTTTTTTGGAAAACATCAAATCCTGAACTGTGGCGACCTACACCACAAGACTTCTCTGTTTCTAAGCATGATGGTGATGGTGATGATGTTGGTGGTGGTGATGGTGGTGATGGTAGGTCCACTTGCACCCGTTTTAAACTATGTTTTTCTATCAGGGTATCCTTCCCTCCTGACACCCACATAAAAAGTGTACCTCACCCCAGCTCTCAGGGACCAGTCTCAGGGACGGTCTTGACTATCCTAATGAATTCATCAGTTACAATGAAGCTTCCTCACATACACTCTCCTCTCTCTTCTGACTCACAACTCCGAGTTCCCAAACATCTCCGTGACTTTACACCTCACACCTCTCAAATGCTCTAGTCTTGTCTCTGTAAATAGATATTTATCCCCTCTCCAGGCTTGCTTTCCGTCCGCCCTTCAGCTAGTTCACGGATGCAATTCTCAGAGTGGCCAGTAGAGGGAAGAAGAGCACAAGAGCTGAGGATGGAAATTCACCCTGAAACAAGGAGAAATGGCCTTCCCTGTGCATGATGGGCAGGAATGGGTCTCCTGTCGCCCGAATTCAGGGCATCTGGAAATGAGGTTTGGGAACATCGAGGAGTTGTTACTTCTGATCACTCTGAACACAAAAGCTGCCGTTGGGTGTGGGAGGGCTCCGCTGCCTCGAAGCAGGGCTCACCCCCTCCACGGTCACACCCAGGGGGTCCTTTTGAAGCTGTTTACCTCTCTTTCCCCTTCTCCCCAGCCACAATCATCACTCGCCCTGGCAGCCTCTGGTCCTCTAGTGTTCCCAACACTTCAGTTTTTTAGTTTACCTTTAAATTTTTTATGTCTGATTTTGACCCTAATCACTACCAATTTGTTTCCAGATTTTTGTTTCTGAAAAATTCAGTGTTCACTGAATTATCTATCATTTCGTTTAAAGCAATTCCTCCTGTTTGTATAATATTTAAAATTAACTTTCACATTAGTTTTCATACTTGCTTTCAAATATTTTCTTTGACGGTCTATTGTCTATTTTCTTTTTCTTTTTACTCTGTATAAGGGAATAAAGACAAACCTTACTAGCTAGTGCTTAGGATAAATATACACTGTATATTGGGCATATACACTGAGCCGTATCCCCAGACCTTTTCCTTTTTTTAATAGTTTTTCAGATTTAGAGACAGTCTCACTACATACATAGGTCAGACTGGCCTCACTCACTGTGTAGCCCAGGTTTGCCCTGAATAGTTCAGACTACAGGTTCCTTCCAGTGGGCCCAGCTTCTGTTTCCTGTTTATCTGTTACTTTTCAGTTTTTCTGTGACCTCAGCTTCTGCTTCCTGCCCCTGTTGTGTGGTCTCAGAGTGAGACCTGCTTTCTCATCCCCTAGTTTCTTCATAATTAAAACAGGGCAATGATGTTACCTACCTCGTAAATTTGTGGTGAGAATTTGATGAAGTCATAACATAAATTTACTACCTGGCTGTGTCCTTGGAGCTTCTTTGAAGAGGAGAAAACTTTGTTTTCTAGAGGGGAAATTAACTTCTTTCTTGTATTCTCACGTCAAGCCTGACTAATTGTCATTAACTTACAGTAGCCTTTAGCAGAAAGATACAAGATTTGGTTTGTGATGTTAGTGTAAATGCTATAGGCATAGATACATTTCTGTGGTCATATGCAAGTCTGCAAGGAGATGTGTATCACTGTTCTCATCTTTCCCTGGATGCCCAACTACAGACTAAGAATGTAACAGCTTTACCTCATCTTCACCTAACCATCAAGTTGAAAAAATGTATCCATTCTTATTATTGGAGGAAAGAAAGGGAGGAAGAATGGTGTAATTATGTATAAAATATGTATATATGCACACATATATGTTATATATATATAATTTTATTGTATATTATATATCATATATAATATGTCATATATTGTATATTATAATTACATGTTATGTATCATGTATCACATATATATATTATATGTCATATATGTTATATACACACACATAAATGTTGGGGGTTGGTCTGGTGCTATATATACAAATGTACAAATGCTAAATACTGACTCCCAAGACCTAGTTGCCCCCAGATGTCTACATACACCAGCCTTTGTTCTATATAGCTTGCTCTCCAATTTAAAGCTATTGGTTAAATAAAAGTAACTACTGCCAATTACTGGGGAGAAAAGAGGTAGGCGGAGTTTCAGTTACCGGGTTGAGCTGGGAGTGGCAGGTAGGAACCACAAGGAGAGAAGGAAGAGGAGAGATGAAGAAGAGAGGAGAGTGGAGGAGGCTGGATCATGAGAAAACCAAGAAGTGGATCCTGCACAGACTGGTGGAGCAAAAATCACCTGGGAAAGACAATCAGCAAGTGCTCGGGGAGCACAGCTGCAAATTAGCAGCCTTGTGTTAGAAAACAATAGATTACAATGTAAAAATTATTTAATCATGGTTTCTACCCTGCCTTAGGTATTACCGGCTTGGGGTCAGAGGAGGATCAATATGTTGTAGTAATTATTTAAATCCCTGCCCAAGGTTTCTACCCCACTTTTACTATTTAAGTTCCCAGATAAACAACACACAAACCTTTATATTTATAATAAGCCTTAAACAACACAAGAGCTAGGCAGATATCTGCCCTCTGTGTTGTTAGAATCTACTTTCCTACTTACTATGTTTCATCTCGGCTGCTCTTAACTCCAATTGCGAAACCCACCCCACGGGGCCATTTTCTTTACTCCTAACTCCCTAACCCATGGCGGCTTCTCCTTCCTCTTCCTGTACTCTTCTTCTCCTGGCTTCTCTCAAACCCAAGCTGGCAAAGCCTAAACTCAACCTTTATCTCTTCTGCCCAGCTATTAGCTGTTGGCACCTTTATTTACCAATCAGAAATAATTTAGGGGCAGGGTCACATAGCTTCATTGTGTCTAGTGCAAACTCCAGCCAGGTCTTGGGGGCTACGTACTGGACATTACAATACACACCAAGATGGAACTTCAACAAGATTAGGGGTAATTTGTCCAGCAATTGTGCTAGAGATGATTTTTAAAAGGCTATAGGACTCTGCCTCGATTATTGTGGGGTAGGGGCTAGCAGGATCATATAGTTTATTAAAATCCGTTTGTGAGTGTGTGTGTGTGTGTGTGTGTGTGTGTGAAGAAAAGCATGTATCCTTAACAACACAGAATTCCTAAAAGTACTTTTCACTGTAGTTTCAAAAGTAGAACCATGATGAGAACCGAGAAGAAAACAGACTTCTAATAATCAAACATTTCTACCGATGCAATCAGTAGCTGTAACTGGAAATATTTCTGAAGAAATTATGCAGTATGTTTTGGATTGGTTTTCTAAATTTGGTGTTGGGAGTACTTAAAAATTCTCCTGTCTTCATGGTGTTTTGTCTTTACGTCTTCATAGAAAATAACTTTGAAATGTTTGCTTCCTATATTGTTAATATCTAGGGATATCTTATTTTCTTGTGTTACGCTAAGTCACTACAAAGGCTTATCTGGTGCAAAGAATCGAATGTCAAGAAAAAAAGGAAGGACTGCGGATGTAGCTCAGTTGGTGCGTGCTTTCTTAGCAAGCATGAGGTCCAGAGTTTGATCACCATTGCTGCATAAGCTGAGCACATGCCTGTAATCTGTAGAGAAAGATCGGTAGTTCAAGATCATCCTTTGTTAGACCGTGAGTTGATACCAGCCTGGACTACATAGACTCTGCCTCATAAAAGAATGGAAATCATAAAAGAATGGATTTGAAGACTTGTGTCTTTGGTAATCCATTGCAATGCAGCTGTCACCCTCTACTATCAAACAAACAAACAAATAAAACAGTTTCAAAGAAAGCTTGTAATAGTAGCTGAAGATGCTATTAGTGATTATAACATATCATGAGGTAATATCCCATGTTCTGATTGAGCACCACAAAGGACTTCCTCAACATACAAGTCCTGCAAAATCCTATTAAGTTCTAGTGTCTAAATTATTCATTTTAATTTTTATCTAATTAATTCATGTGTGTTTGTGTGTATGTGTGTGTGTTTGTATGTGTGTGTGTTGTGCAGGAACACTTGTGCCCCAGTGTGAGTGTGGAGGTCAAGTCAGAGGACAACTCTTTAGAATCATGTCTCCCTGACCCTGTGGAATCCAGAGATTAAACTTGTGCACAAGCACCCCTACCCACTGAGTCATCTCACCAGTTCCTAAATGATTCTATGAAATGATTCTATTAAAAAGTACTTAATTTTTACTTTTAAATTGTGTGTGTGTGTGTGTGTGTGTGTGTGTGTGTGTAAAATTAAGCACATATGAGTACAGAAGAGGGCATTAGATCCCTTGTAGTTGTAATTACAAGTGCCTGTGACCAACATCCATCTGACAGGAATGCTGGGAACAAGGCCCAGGTCTTCTGCAAGTCCAGAGTATACTCCTAACCACTGAGCCACCTCTCAAGCCCCATAACTAATTCTTAAGAAGACCAAACCAGATTACTTAATTGCAAGATTTCTCTGACTTCCATTTTTAGTGTTGTTACTGTCTCTTCTAGGAAAGTAACATTTCCCAACTTCTTTAACAGATTTTTTTTAATAGAGCACCTTATTAGATGGATCCCTGGAGTGCAACATTTTGGAAACATTATATTATAGTTTCTATCTTCTGCCAATATTTTCTTATAAATTTGCTTCATTCTCTGATTCATTACCTGATCAAGCAGGGGTCACAACACAGTAGCTATGCCAGATAATTTACTTAATAAAATTAATTCCACTTGATTTCCAACAGAACATTTAGTTGCTGTGTTCTCTCTGCAAGAATTATATCAGTAGCTGGCTTAAATTTCTCCATACAAGCCACTTTGCAGCTAGCAAAACCCAAAGTGGACCCAGACTTACCTTTGCTTTTCAGTTTGGAGGTCCTCATCCTGAGCTTGGCACAAGTCCTCTTTAAGGCTTATGGCTTGGTCACAAGATAAAGGTGGAGAAATGTAAGTCCCGTCGACTTGCAGGTCATCAAAGCATGGCTTTCTGAAGGCATAGGAGTTGTTGCAGCAGTGACCCAGTCCAGTGTTAGCAGGCTTCCTGCCGTGTGTTCTGCATAGCTCTCCAAGAATTAGCTTTGCCTTTTCCAGAAGAGAATTAGAGGAAGATGAGTGAGGTTGTGTTTGTTGTCTTTTTTATCCCTGTGAATGATCACAGGTAGGTACTAACACATTCGATTGTGAGATCCACCAGCGTTAGTGAAACATCCGCAGAATCTTTGAAACTGCTTACCAACATCAGTTGTGTCAACTTTAAAACCCAAAAAGTAGACCCTTGTATATGACCCAGGGGATGTAAACCTAATAAGACAAGTTTGAAAGGGGACAGTCCTCCCCTGATGCTAAGCAGACAGCTGGCGTAAGATGCCTGGAAATATCCTCCTCTGAGAATTTTTAATTCCACTGGTAAGTCATATATATGTCCAAGAAATGAGGTTGACTCCCGAGGACCGGAGAGAAATGGCAGATGTGTCACCAGTGTGCTTACCTGGTCCTCCACACAGGCCGACTGCAGCTCATCCCTTAGTGGGCAACATCTGCTGGCAGCCACTGCCATCTTCTTCGAGAACATCACCAGTTCCTGGGCAGACAGCTGTGGGGCTTTCTTAGTATAAAGTACCGTGAGCCTAAAAGAGTAAGTACTTCTCATTCCAGGTAATGGGTACACACGCAAACATCCATCTTCAGTTTCCCTCGGTATCCAACATGATCCCTGATGTAGGAGGGACCAAACATCTCTTCTGCCCTGTCCTGATGGCTCAGTAGGTAATTGAACATAATTGCCATTGCATCCCACTTATGTCCTGTTCCAACCTAACCTTTTTATATTAGGCTTACTGGGGATACCGTCAAAGCTAAAATCAGATAGCTCCTCTGGACAGAGCCTCCAGTAAAGCTCCTGGGAACCATTTACCAGGTGTGGTGTAGGAGCACAGTGGCCTAAGAACCACCCTTGTTCTCCAGGGACTCACACCCCTGAAAACAAGGGCAGACAAGAACAGTGGGTGGACGGAGTGCTGCGGGTGCTGTGAGCTAGGGGTCAAGTCTGTTGCTGAAAATGCTGCCGGAAGGAATTGCCTCGTCTCCATCTTTCTTAGCAAGTTCCCCCCTTGTAATGATTTCAACTCCCTTTGAAATGCATACAGTATGTATTGAAAAACAGATCTTGCTTTTCACCCACTTTATGAGCCAGCAATGTCTTTTTCGGGGACCCAAGTATCCAAGAACATAAACTGCTCCCCTTTCTTTCATCTTGGAGAATTTGGAGGTGTGGGGGGAGCTTAGCTGCTGCCAGTTGCAAAATTACCTCCTTGCTTAAAAATGTAAGAAGGGCTTTGGGGCCAGGGCAGGGGTGGGGGCTGTTGATCTCTAGAGACTCATTTAACATAAATTAGGTAAACTGGCCGGTTAGTCAAGCTAGGGTGAACTACATTTGGCAAGTGAGACTGTCAGATCGTCCTGAGGACTAGTAATTGTTCACAATGAGTTCTCTAATTATTGTGCAAAACGTGTTGTGTCTGCTTAGCTGTGACCAGGGAATGTGGCTTCATTCTGCTTTTGCAAGCTGTTAGTGGGCACCTGTGGTGCGCGTCACATTCTGGTTTAATGTTTATTCAACGTTTAAAAACTGGTCTATTTCTATACTACCTTGGCGAATTTTATCTAGAGTATAAAAGAAGGTGGTACTGCCCATTTCAGGAGGCCTGGCAAGCTGTCCAGAGGAAAAGTCTTTAGAGTTGAGAAATGACAATGCCTTTGAATAAGCGAGGCTAAGGGGAGGGGGTAGGTAGGATAGGAGGATTTGGGAAGTCATTGACTCTGGGGTATTGTTGCTGGTTTTGTTTGTTTGTTTGTTTGTTTGTTTGTTTTGGATGGGGGTTAGATTTGTAACCAGCTTTACATCCTTTTAAGGTGATGTCTTCTTTGAGAAGAGTGCATTCGGGCTTCACAAGAGTCAAAGCAAAACATCAAACTATTTTAAGGCTTTCCCAGCAACACAAGTTGAGAAAAGGTAGTGATGAAGGTGCAAAGCGAGGACATGGTTTAAAGAGAAAGACCATAGAGCCTCATGTTGAGGACCACAGACTAGAACTAACTGCTGCATTACTAGTAGAAATCAGTGTGGAGGGAGGCAGTTTCTACAGCAGCTGGATAGTCAGATGACCTTAAGGGGATTAGCCAGCTACAGCAGTATCAGCCTCCCTGGGTTCTTGTTAGAAATCCAGAACTTTCCTCAGACTTCCTGAATCAGAAACTCTGAGTTCAGGGGGCCTGGGTTCTAATGCCTTCTGTAAGGTTCTGTCACACTCTAATGTTTGAGAACCACAGAGCTAATCCTTACCAGGGGCGTTAGCAACTGCACACAGCATTAAAAGAAAAGAAAGCACTAAGCTGAAAACCCTGCCTGAAAGAACCAGAGCACTCTGTGATCCATTACTTTGGACATTTAATTTAAACTCAATATTATGATGCTATGTTAATACCATGCTTATAAATAAATAGACCATTCTAGAAGACCCTGGAGATTCCTAAATCGGTCTTTACTTTTGGATTACACAATCCTTGATAGCTAGGATTCACCGGGCTCTCTGTAACCACAGTGTTCATGTTCCCTTCACAAAAAACTAAGGCATCCATCTGGTTCTTGATGGTCAGAATACTAACCTTGCCTAAAAAAACAGACTGGTAAGCAGACCCTGGATTCTAATCTCGATCGACCAACCGAAGCTTTGATTCCAAGTCACAGCCCCAAGGTAAACTGTTAGGTATGCATGTCATGGTGGCCCTGCAGGGTCAGGCTGCTTTGCTCCCTTATCTCAGGGGCATCTGGGAGACTGACCTTGTGGGCAGGATGCTCCCAAAGTTACATGAATATCTGTTGAATCAGCACAAATGACTGGTTAATAAGCAATTAAAGAGTGGATGAAAATTCTGAGCAAATCTTAGCAACAGGGATTAACCAATAGTCTCTGATGAGGATGAATCTGGGGCATCTGAGGAGCATACCTGTTCTGGAAGTTGCTACCGCCCAGCTGCTTGTGTAAGTCACAGTAGGTTTTAACACGGTCATGGCTTTCAAGTACTACTCTTTGGAGCACCTCTTTCTAAAAAAAAAAAAAAAAAAAGTAGCTGTTGTTAGTGTTTATCCAGGGTCACAGCAATATGTGTTGAGATAAGATTATGGCAGCATTTTTTTCCTAGTCCTTTAGTAAAAATATTTGCTATGTTTTTAATAAAATATTCAATAAAAAATAACTACATTTCTTTTCTGTTGTTGGTTTGGTTTGGCTTGGCTTTTTGTTTGTTTGGTTTTTGGTTTTTTTAGTTAGTGGGTTTGGAAAACACACATCACATACACACATGTAAAAATCATGCTTTTCTAAAAGAGAAATCATCACATGCTTTGTGGGAAACAAATGAACAGGCAAGATTAAGAATTCATTCTACATCCTTCTTAGAAGGGGGAACAAAATACTCATAGGAGGAAATACGGAAACAAATTGTGGAGCAGAGACTGAAGGAAAGGCCATCCAGAGACTGCCCCACCTGGGGATTCATCCCATACACAGTCAGCAAACCCAAATATTATTGCTGATGCCAAGAAATGCTTGCTGACAGGAGCCTGATATAGCTGTCTCTTGAGAGGCTTTGCCAGAGCCTGACAAATACAGAGGTGGATGCTCACAGCCAACCATTGGACTGAGCACAGGGACCTCAACAGAGCAGTTAGAGAAAGAACTGAAGGAGCTGAAGGAGTTTGCAACCCCATAGGAAGAACAACAATATCAACCAACCCAAGGACTAAACCACCAACCAAAGAGTACACATGGAGCAACCTATGGCTCCAGCCGCATATGTAGCAGAGGATGACCTTGTCAGGCATCAATGGGAGGAGAGGCCCTTGGTCCTGTGAAGACTCAATGCCCCAGTGTAGGGGAATGTTAGGATAGGGAGGCGGGAGTGGGTGGGTGGGTGAGTTGGGGAACACTTTGTAGAAGCAGGGGGAGGGGAAACTAGGAAAGGGGATAACATTTGAAATATAAATAAAAAATATCCAATAAAAGAAAAGAAAAACTTAAACAAACAAAAAGAATTCATTTTACCATGATGTAAACTTATCCGCGGGCCTAAATGCTGAATTCTATAACCATAAGGCAAATCATTCATCAAGCCAGAAAGAAAAGGGGTATAGGGTATAGACCTATTCAGCTGATGTGTGTGTGTGTGTGTCCATTCATTGGTTCATTTAATAATTAGGCTTTTCATATTAGCAGCATGCACAGATACACATAAGCACAAATATACAGGTATAGAGAGAGTTTGTATGCTAAAGAGTCTCAGTTTAATATAAATATATATCAGTCATGGTTATAAAACATGCCACAAAGTACACTGAGAGGAGCCAAAAGGGATTTTCAGAGCTAAAAGTAAATCAAAGTGTTTAACCATGACATAGGCTCCAGTAGGAGGGCATTAGTAACCTTTCAGGCTCAGCTCTTAGACAGGAGCACACCCACCTTAGGAAACCAACAGTGTACCTTATCCTAATAAGCAGTGTTTGGCACAGAAAAAAATTCCCTCAGATTTGCAAGCTGTTGACCTGGATTTTACTCTTCTTCCTGTCTTTACTGCCAGTGTAACATGAGGCAAATTGCCTACTCTTCTTACCCACAGAATGCATGCACTCAGGACCTGCAGTATTGCCTGCAACCTCTGCCTACCCATGATTCTTCATGGTTCCATAGTTGTAAATCACTTTAGAAGCTGTCTTGGTTAAGGTTGCCATTTCTATGATGAAACACCGTGACTAAAGCGACTCAGGGAGCAAAGGGTTTATTTGATCTTTGCTTTCACTATTTATTATCCAAGAAGGCAGGAGCTGATGCAGAGGCCATGGAGGAGTGCTGCTTACTGGCTTACTCCCCTTGTCTTGCTCAACCTGCTTTCTTATAGAACTCTGCACCAACAGTCCTCCAGTGGCTCCACCCACAATGGACCTGGCCTTTACATCAATCACTGACTGCCTGCAGCCTAATCTCATGGAGACAATTTCTCAGTTGAGGTTCCCTCCTCTCTGATGACTCTTAGCTTGTGTCAAGTTGACATAAAACTGTCCAGCACAGAAGCCTCACGGTGATATTTTGAGGAGGTACACGGTCACATAGCCTTCTCTCTAGAAACAGAAATACCAGGTGTACCTGCTTGAACCTAGACACAGATTTTCTCTTCATCCCTGCTTTGCTCTCCACTCCTGCCACAATCTTCTATGTGTAAGCCATCAATTTACAGTATCAAAAGTCAGAACTATGTAGGCCATGGCAATCCATGGATAACTATCAAAGCTGAAGCTTGTGTGAACCCTAGCTTCTCCACAAAAACGCACACCAAGAGCTGCTATCTGCGGTCAGGCAGATTGCTAGCCTGAAAGGGAAGCATCTTCCATACAACATTGCACCCAACCAGGCTGTACCACCCTGCTACTGTACCAAGCCGACTTCTGCATTCACTTCAAATAGGATACTACAAGGGTCTCCAGAAACAGTCTATAAGACAGGCAAGTCTCTATGCTGTGATGGTCTAGCCTTAGATTAGGGAGGAATCCTGCTTCTCACCTAGTGCTCACAATTAACCAAAACATGGAAAACTCATTTTACAAAAGGAAGTGCTTCTAACAGCACTAGGATGTTTGCTGTTTGCAACCACTTATGAGGAACATGTTTTTAAGAATAGGTAAAAATGGAATTTACCCCAGGCTGGTGGCATTCTGAAGGGTTTTCTAACCTGCAGCAATTCTCCAGTACACGTTTGTATGTTTCAAAGACTCTTAGGATCACAGGAACTGCCAACTCCAGGTGTCTTCTTGAGTACTCATAAAGAAACCTGTAACGTATAAGGCACATGAGAAGACAAAAGTTAGAACTCAGAGGTCATGAGTTGTGTTTTATTTTCTGTGTGTTTTGTTGTTTTCAAAAAGCCATGAAGTTGAAGATGACCCGCATTTAGAAACCTTGGGAAGCTGTCAGAGAGGCTTCATTATAGTACATTGAAATAAGAAAACCAAATCATTAAGATCATGTGGTTTTCCAAAGCCATGTGGTACCAGATAGCAGACTCAGAACTTGCACCTGAAACACACTGACTGACTAGAAGTTTCTGGCTCAGAGTCTAGAAACTTCCATGTGAGATCAGTTTCAAGTATTTGTATGGAAAGATGTGTTTTCCAATTATCTTTGGGACTAAATATTTTTCTTAAAAACAAAAGACCTATGAATCACCTATGAATGTATTTTTGAAGCATTAAATAACCATCTCCTCAGCCCCCTTTCAAATAAGCCATTAAGTGTGTGTAGTCCAGTCATAATCTATACAGTCATCTGGCTCACCAAAAGAAATAAAATGGGGGCTGCAGAGATGGCCCAGTGGTGAAGAGCACACACCACTCTTCCAGAGGACCAGAGTTTAGTTCCCAGCTCCCACATACAGGAGCGCACAACTGCTTGTGACTCCAGGTCCAGGGAATCTGGCACTGCTAGCCTTAGTATGCCCAGAAACACACATGCAATCATCATCATCATCAATATTTTAGAAGGCAAATAAAATGGACTCTAGAATGTTTTCAAAACACATATGAAGATGAACCCTTTGTTGTGTCCTCACAAACCACCTCAGCTTTCAGTTGGAACACACTGCCTGGGAGATCAGGCTGCTGTATAGCAAGGTTGGACAGGCACCCACAACGCTCGGTTTCATACAACTTTTACTACTGGATCCAGTCAGCACAAATCCATTGACTTTTCAGTACCAAATTCAAGCTTAGGAATTTATATGAGTGGGGTTCAGATAGTAGTATTGGATTTTATTAGCTAGGATCAGACATAATTTGTAAAATATAAGTGGGATCATTTAACTCTGAGGAAAACTCTATTCTCATGGCTGCACACATGACGTCACTCTGGAAGCAATTTAATTGCATAGTGCTATTGTCTTAATATTATGTATTGAAATCATCTTGCTTTGATGCACAAATCCACTTCTGAATGGACACCAATGATGTTAGCGTTCCAACTCCTTAATGCTTAAATGGTATGTGTATTTGATAGTGTATACTAAATTAATTAGAATAGAAGCACTAGCCAGGAATACCAATCTTATCATCTTCTTTATCTGTAAGTCCTCATCCCGATGTCTGGAACACTTAGCTATCACCATGCTCTTTTTAAAAAGCCTTTTACACTCATTGTCAACATCTAGAAGAAAGGACCCTCTTCTCTTTCATGTACTGTTCCCAAGCACCTGAACCCACAATCCCACTCAGCATCATGAATGGACCTGAACAACCTCAGACTCCTCTTGGCCAGACTCTTCGTCACCGGCACCATTTACATTAAAGTCTGCAACATCTCCCAAATGAATCCATAAGTTACTAGAAGGAAAGTGGCATTACTCTTGTAGAAAGTCGTCCTGGTTGCCGCTGAATTGTTCGCACACAGACTGGTCTTCGGTAAATCTTGTAAGGGGCAGCGCTGAAAGGTCGGGTTTGTCATCATTCTCTGAGTTGATGATGCATTCCCCGCGGAATGGTTCTGGTTGCTCACAGCACTCAGCAAACTTGCTGGATAAGACGGCCTGGTTGGAGCAGGTGTAGTTCATAAGCTGGCGCTAGGGACAGGATGGGAAATCATTCTTTGATTACTTTATCCTCAACTTAGTTTGCTGTCATTAGACTAGCGGAGGAACACTCGATACCGCACCCGCCGCTTTACCAGAGGCAAACTGAAAAATCCCAAAGAGACATTCATTATTAACTCCGTTTGGAAAGAAATACATGTCTATTTGACCTTAAGTAGTGTCTAAAACTCTTATCTACCTATTAAGAATATAGGAGGAGACAGGTTGCATTAATGATTCCCCACTTAGCCCAAAAAGTATAAGCCGAGGTTCTATTGCTTCTTATTGTTGTTCTTACTGTAGGTTCTCGGTCTAAGCACTTGTCTTTGAAGACATCACACACACTCTCTGTTACTCAGTGTATTCTGTGTACTGTCCTAATGCCAGATCTGCTGAAATGCACAGGTAATCGCTTGAATCTATGAAGTACACATAAGGAACTCATGATCTACTCAAAAGAGTCCAGTGACTAAACAAATCAGTCATAATATTTAGGAGCTCAATAAGATTCTTCAGAATAAATCAGAGAAACTTACGGTCCAGATAGAATGGATATGGCAGTGATGATGGTCTTCAACGATTCAAGTCACGAAGGACAATTAGAAGTTAATTGGAAACAAGGGAAAACATACAAAAATTTTTGTTCTCATAGGCATATAAAATCTTAGAGGTAAGAAAGCACAGCATGGCTGGGAAAGGGTCATTTAAAGTTGTTGAGAAAATTAGTAAAGACTTGGTTGGACTAGGCACTTTTGGCAGGCAGAACTAAATTTTGTTTTTGTTTTTTTTTTTAAACAAAGGGGAGCTAAGGGCCTGAGGAGAAAGGATCTAGGATTGCTTAAGAGTGAGGGAAGTAGAATTCCCTGAAGCTAATGTTTATGGGAAAGAGGAGATGAGGATCGCTGTTGAAGGGTTAAACTGAAGAATTTCCTGTGGGTGTTGAGTTCAGAACGGCTTCAAGCATCTATAAGGTTGTTACAAGGAGATTTGCCTCAAGCAGTAGCCACTACTGAAAAAATCTAGGAATGATCAACTCGAAAGTCTGAGTGCTACTCAGAAGCTAATTATGGGTCAGTTTGAGACTCTGAAGGACGCATGCGTGCTGGTTCACTGAGGCGCTCGAGTGCTCTCCGTGACCCAGCACCAGCAAGCTCCATCTCTTCTCCAGGTAGCAGTTCCTAGAAGGAAGCGTGGCGGCTTTTTTACCTTCTACCTGTGGCTTCTGGCGTTGCCTTTAGCATTAAAGGTCACTGGGATGAGAGTGTAATGGGAGAGGACGGTCTAGCGACAGAAACATCGAGATTATTATAAAAGGAACCTGTTTTAAAAGACAAATAGGGAGCCTTCTTCATCTGGACTTCATCTAATGAACAGAGCATGCCGAGGGAAAGTTCATACTGCACAAAAAAGGGAGAGGTGGTGCTGTGGAAGTGTCTGAGAAGGGGTTAGTCATGTCATGGAGGCCTGATGCTTTTGTGTAAGGGTAGAGGTAGGGGAGGGAATGAGGTAGGGGTGGGATGGGGATAGGGGTAAAGGGTGGGGTGGGGGAGAGGGAGGGGAAGGATGCTTTTCCCCTTAGCTCACTAACCCACTCATATTCTCTAGAGTTCCTTCTCTTTCATAATGAATGGTCTCTATTTCTATTTCTAACCATGTGTCTCTGTTACAGTTCTTTGTCATGGGGCCTAGGAATGCAGATTACTTTACCAAGTGTGCCAGGCCTCCCTTAGCCAGTGCTTATACGAGTACGTGTACGGTAGGATGAAACCCAGAAGACAGCTGTAAGTTACTCAAATGGCCTGAGTACCTTTTAACCACAACTCAGACAAGTGGTCCCACCTAGTCTTTGGACAGGCAGGAAATACAATTCATGTCCAGAGATGGATTAAACAGGAAGAAAAAAAAAAGGGAGTTCTTACTGGGTGTCTCCTTAGCTCTGTCAGTGCATTTACAGCTGGAGAAGAACGGGAACAGAGCTGCCTGGAACACTGAATCTCAAAGGGTCGTAAGAAAAGGAGGAGGAGGAGATAAAAAAACTGTAAGAACCTAGATATTAGAAGGTGAAAGTGTCTTCCATCATCTGGTGATTTGGAGACATAAATTACCACTGTGTTTGACAACTCAGTGCTGTCCTTGATTGCCACCTGCTGACTGTAATTTGGGGAACTTTCTTACTTCCTTGTGGCCCAGCTTTCTAGTCTGCAAAATGAGTAGTGAAAATGATCCTTGCTAAGACTGTGGGAAATGAATGAACTATCTGTCAAGAATAGAGAAGATGCTCTCAGTGTCTTGAGATGGTCAGACGTGGGCCTGGGCACTAGCATTTAAAAGTTAGTGCTGTAGCGATGACCACACGGTCTTAGATTATTGTCCCTACAGGGTTACAGAGTCAGATCCTACAGTGCTGCTGAGTCAAAGAGAAGCTGAGAGGACCTTACTGAGTTCTAGTGATTGACATGGGAATATTAAATTATAACAATGTCAAAGATTACTGTTGAGAACAAACACATTCCTTTTGGTCCGTATGGAACTGTGAATCAGCATGGTGTAATAGGATGTGATAAGGGCTGGACACAGTCAACAAAGCTTGGAGACATACAGCAAGCACTGCTGTGTGCAGTACAAAGATCTTTCCTCAGAGTGGGAAAAGAAATGGTCTAATTGGGAGAGATATAGGTTAAGATGACAGGAATGGTGGAAGATGGTATATGAAAAAAAAATGATTGGGTTGGAAGTTTTGATCAGTGGTGTAGCACCAGCTTAGGATATACAAGGTCCTAAATTCAATCCCCCTGAAACAGAAAGGGAAAAAAGAGGAACTTGTTCTTCAAATCGAATAGTTAATAACACAGTTATTTTTAACAGAATGGGAACACCACCAAGCAGACAACCAAAAGGTCTGTGATAGAAGCAGCAGACAAAGCTAAGAAGTGAATCAATATAATTAAAAGCATAAACCCAGTGAGTCAGTCCAAGAATTTGCTTTGGAGAAGACAAATAAATTAAACCATTTCTTTTTTTTCAGAGCCAATTAATTAAAAAGAAGATCGAATACATAAGAAAAAGGACATACAATTACATAACTGATGGCGTTTTTATTTCAAGCGATAGTTTCATCTACAGCTCTATTTCCCTTAATGAGAAAATGCTAATAAGCGAGATGTTTTGAAGAAGAATCCCATTAAACACACGACAAAGTAAACAGTCGATTCCCAGTCTAAACACTGAATTGGTACATACTGAATCAATGCCACTCTAGGAAAAATGCAGGGCTCCCCTGAGCCTCTGGCTACACCATTAACCAATCAACTAACCAACCGAGACATAGCCTTGCTTAGTACACGTCTCTGTGCGAGGGGTTGTTGCTTTCTCAACGTTGAACTCATAGACAATAGCAAGACAACACCGCATAGGGCAGAAACTCATCTATCTCAGCTTCACATTTTCCGTATAAGATGAATGTCATCTTGTACTTAAAGCAGCATTGTGCTGCTGTATCTGAAACAATCTTGAGCATCAGAATTACCAACAGAAAGGTTGCCTTTTCAGAATTACCACAGAAAGGTTGCCATTAAGTAAGAAAAAGAACATTAGTTTACAGTGTGAAGGCCAAAACAAATCCAGAACAGAGCCTTGTTGGACCTCACAGGACTATGGCAACTCAAATTTTTGGCTGCTCCAAGCATGTGTTAGCCTGGGAACAACATTGGAAGTGCTGTGAATATTGGGTATTGCATCTGGAAAAGCAGATGATTTTAGAATTACAGAATCTACGAGCAATGAGTATTTGCTGGAAAAACACTAAGACTGGCAGATGTGGAATGGAAAAGCATTCTGTTTTTCTGTCTCCAACCTGAACCTGAGGTTTAATAGACAAGCTTAAATACTTCAAATAACACATAGCCTCAGTCCTATTTGTAAAATGTCGAAGGGGCTGGAGAGACGTTAAGAGCACTGGCTTCTCCTCTAGAGTCCCAGGATTCGATTCCCAGCATCCACTTGGCAGCTAACAATCATCTGTAACTCCAGTCCCAGGATATCTCCTCTGGCTCTCTTGGGTGCTCCATATACATGGTTCACAGACACATACAAGGAAAACACCCATACATACATAAAATAAAAATAAATCTATTTTTTAAGCTCATGAAGAAGGAAGACCAAGTGGGGGTGCTTCGGTCCTTCTTAGAAGGAGTAACAAAAGTACTCAAGGGAGCAAATATGGAGACAAAGTGAGGGATAGAAACTGAAGGAAGGGCTGTCTGGAGACCATTCCACCTGGGTATCCATCCCATGTGCAGTCACCAAAGGTAGATGCTGATATGGAAGTCAGGAAGTGCATGCTGACAAGAGTCTGATATAGCTGTCTCCTTAGAGGTCTGCAAGAGTCTGACATATTCAGAGGCAGATGCTCACAGCTAACCATTGAACTGATCATGGGGTTCCCAATGGAGGAGGTAGAGTGAAGGCTGTAGGAGCTGAAAGGGTTTGCAGCCCCATGAGGAGAGCAACAATACCAACCAACCAGAGGTCCCAGGGTCTAAACCACCAGCCTGGGAGCACTTAGGGAGGGATCTATGGCTCCAGCTGTATATGTAAGGGAGGATGGCCCTGTCGGGCATAGGTGGGAGAAGAGATCCTTGGTCTCATGAAGGCTAGATGCCCCAGTGGGTGGGAATTTGAGAGTGGGGAGGTGGGAATTGGGGGTTAGGTAGGGGCACATCCGCAGAGGAGCAGGAGGAGGGGTGATGGGATAGGTGGTTCCTGGGTGGGGGGGGGGGAATGGGGTAAGGGGATAACATATGAAATGTAAATAAAACATCCAATAAAAAAAAGAAAAGAAAAAAAGAAAAAAAAACCTTCCAAGTCTATTTTTAAAAAATCTATTTTTTAAATGTTAGAAATTTTAAAAGGAAAACATTCATTTTTAGAAATTAGCATAAATGAATATACAAACTATATTTATATATATATATATACATATGTGTATATGTATATATGTAACAGTTAAATGAGAAAATTCTAGTATAAACACATAAAACATCACATCACAAGTCCCCAAATACACCAAAATGAGATTCACAAAAGTGTTTAAAATGTAAAAACTAGCTTTTCACTATGCCTTTTTGATGTGTGTGGGGCGTGTGTGTGTGTGTGTGTGTGCGTGCGTGTGCATATTGAGTATGTAAGTGTGAATATGTGAGTGCAGGTGCATGAGTGCCACAGTGCACAGGCAGAGGTCAGAGGTCAACCTCGACTGTCTGTCCTAGCCTTCCGTCTTATTTGGAGCAGGTTCTCTGATTGCTCACCATCATATTAGCTGGACTAGCTGGCCAGTGGACTTTTGGGCAGTCCCCTGCCTCTGGGGCTCCCTTTTCACTGTGGGCACAGTAGGATTACAGATGAGTACCACCACATCCAGCTCCTCATGAGTTGTGTGGATCAGAATACCAGTCCTCATACTGTATGACAAGTACTTTTTCATTTATACGATCCATCGGTGAGGGGCTGGAGAAATGGTTCAGCGGTTAAGAGCACTGACAGCTCTTCCAAAGGTCCTGAGTTCAGTTCCCAGCAACCACATGGTGGCTCACAACCATCTGTAGAGGGATCCAATGCCCTCTTCTGGTGTGTCTGAAGAGAGCAACAGTGTACTCACATATATAAAATAAATGAACCTCAAAAAAAAAATCCGTTGATGAACAAGAAATCAAACGATCATGCAAAGATAAGAAGACAGTGCATACCATATTATATGGCACATATCAATGTTTCAAATTTATCGTAGGTGAGAACGGAAGAGCAAAAGCTCCCTGAAGCAGAATGGAAGCACCTTGGGCACTGGCTTTCTCAAGCCAGCAACTCTATTTCCACTACAACCTGGAAATCCAGTCCAAACCCCAGCAGTCCTACATTGCTGGCTGGGCATAGGTGCTGTTTATATGTGAAGAGATTTTTGTTTTGTCTGTCTCCTGACACAAAGGAGCGATCATTACTCGTCTAGTTTCATTATTTACTATTGTAACATTGCTTAGGAATTTTAATCCTTTTAAAGGTTAATGTGGGAGAGGGTGGTAGCAATCAGTATGTGTTGTACATGTATGAAATTGTCAATGAACAAATTTAACTAATTAAAAAGTTTTAGTTATAAAGAAAGAAGAGCTGTCTTACCCTGCCCAGGGCACACGCTAATGTATTCCCTTCACAGCAGGTCTCATGCAGATTTTTAACATCCACTGTCAATTTGGAGATTTCAGAAAAATTAGCTTTAGGTTGCTTTTTAGTGAGTAGAATCAATTCTCTGTAAAGAAAATTGAGTATATCGATACTTTTTTCTTTTTTAGAATGAGCATAGCATTCTGTTTTCAGTAATTATTTTATTGTTGAGATTATAATATAATTAAAACATTCCTCCCTCCCTTTCTTCCATATTTTGACTTTCCACTTCAAGGAACCAAACGTGACTAAATAAATTAGCAAGTATTAGGAAGTGTTTTCTACTGCTCTGGTGCCTATGTGCAGCCCCACAGAAAGATCAAATCTCAATAATGTGAAATCTAGTAATTTTCAGCATTTAAGGAAGCTGAGTTGCTGAGACATTGAAACGTATACCTTGATAGCCTTAGAAGTATGGCCAGCCTCATCACAGAGGAAAATGAATAAAGCACAGCGCTCTTTTGTGCCCATTGTCAAGACTCTGGGGGTTCTCTGGAAATAAAATTACCCTGCCCTTCAGGAACTTCAGCGCTGTCACTCGCTGGGGAAGATGGTGATAAGAAAAATACATGAATTCCAGGTGGAAAGGAGGCATGAAAGCCTTCCCCATCCCTTAGTTCCAGAGAAAAAAGAATATTTATTTCTATGTTCTTTACTACAAAGGGAGGGTCAGCTAGTCTCTGCATCATCATCATCATCATCCCCTATAACCCAAACTGGCCTTGAACACACTATGTAGCCCAGGATAACCTTGAACTCCCGATCCTCCTGTCTCTACCTCTCAAATGATGGAATTATAGCCAATATGCTACCATGCCCGGCCAAACTCCCAAATCTTCTCTTTAAGTTTTACTTTTATTTATAATGATATGGATGTGTGTGACTGTGTATAAAAATGCACAGGTACCAGAGGAGTCCAGAAGAGGGTAGAAGGTCCCCCAGAGCTGAGTTACAGGCAATTTTGAGCCCTTCAATGTGGCTATTGAGAACCTAACTCATGTCCTCTGCAAGACCAGTATATAAGCCTGAAGTCTCTGGACCTTAATGCCAAAAGTCTATCATGCACTGAGGATCTGTGCAGATGAGATAAACTAATGGAGATGATCCTGAGGGCAGTTGAGGACTATGTGGTTTCCTACACAGATCTTGTGCCATGTTTGAACAGATGCAAAGCATAGATACAGAAACGTGTGGTGGTTTGAATATGCTTGACCCAAGGAGTGGCACTACTAGGAGGTGTGGCCTTGTTGGACTGGGTGTGGCCTTGTTGGAGTAGGTATGTCACTGTGGGGTGGTCTTTAAGACCTTCCTCCTAGCCACATGAGAGCCAGCCTGCTCCTGGCTTCCTTTGGATGAAGATGTAGAACTCTCAACTCTTCTAGCACCATGCCTACATGCTTGCCACCATGCTTCCTACCATGATGATAATGAACCTGTACAATAGCCCTAATTAAATGTCCTTTATAAAAGTTGCCTAGGTCATAGTGTCTCTTCATAGCAATGGAAACCCAAACTAAGACAGAAGGATTCCAGGCTTGTACTGACAAATAGTGTTAAATAATGGGTAAATGATTTTTCAAAGTAGTTTAGTCAAAACAGATGACTGCGCAGCAGCAGCAGAACACAGATCCATGTAGGAAACTTACACCGCACTTGCCACTTTCTCATTGAATTTGGTCCCAATTTCACATAAATGATGATGTCTCACAGATATTCCTCTAATATATTTTCTGATGGGTTCTAGCTGCAAACGGAAAACAATTCATTAAAGAAATGTGTTAGTAACGGATAATGTTAACAACATCATTGGAAAAGATAGAAAATTAGAAGTCACTGATGTCCTCAGCATTTGAAAGTCTTCAATCTACTGACTTAAGAGGGGATAACTGCAAAGACATAATATGGCAAGGTTTTTGCAAAAATAATACCTCACTCTCCCCAAAGACCATTTACCTCAAAAATTCATAAACAAAGTAATGTCTGGAGAGCAAAATGTCAAAAGAGACTCAAAACTGCCCCATGACTGTGCTTCCTTTAATCTAAGTCATTAACCATTTTAATTCCGGATATGTCTCAAACCACTCAGCTGAAATAGATGCTTCAATTCTCAAATGCATGTTAACTTCTTTACCTCCAAATGTTTGGGGTTTTTTTTAATCCTAGACTTCTACTCAAAAGGATGGTGTACAAGTCACAATGTTTTCTTCACATTCGGTTTCTTCACTAAGAAACATGTATGCATGTTTCTAAATATGCAACATGCCCCTGTAGTGTTAACATAAGCAGACAAGGTAAGCCAGCCAAGAGGTCTTCCCATTGTGATGCTCACAGTGTCCCTGCAATGTCTGTTCTAAGCAGCTCTTGGTCTGTCCTTGGAGAAAACTACATAATCAATTATATCGCATATTAATTGTGCCTGTGATCAGAGCTTGATGAGGCCTCAGAGACCCTCGTGAAAATGGACAAATGTATTTGTATTTTATTTTGAAATGCTAGACAATGAGACAGGCATCAGAGTATAACCATTGGCTTTCAGGATTTAATTAAAGTGAAAGCAAGAGGAAAGAAAAATGACCGTCTGCTTACTGAGAATTAGCTTCCGATGGAATCAGAATCCACCAGGATAATAATGGAGAGGTCAGAAATATAAACAAATAGCTTTAATGGAGAATAATGCAACCATGGAGTCCTTAGCCTACGGCAGAATCTCTTCAGATACCCTATTATTTTTAATACACAGGAAAGAACTAGGTAGGAGAAAGAGATAAAGTTCTATGAATTTTAGAGAAAATGAGATGGTTTCTTACTCAGAACAATAAAAACATCAAGACAAACCCAGCCATACTTAGCCTTGAGTTATTCAGCACAATGATTACCAAATTACCATTAGTTTCCAGCATGGCATGTAGAAAATCTGTGTGGTGGCCCCTCAAACATGGCTCTGCTGGTGTTTAGAATTTCTCTGTTTAGATCCTTTAATGAGCACCACACACACACACACACACACACACACACACACACACTTTTATCTTAAACTGAACCACTGATTTGTTTCTATTCAATGATGGTCAAAAGGCTAAAACATCCCCTGTCCTATGTTTTTTCTGAGAAGGGACTGAACATTGTTATCCCAACAAGGAGTAAAGTCTACCTTCAGGCCCTCTCCAACTGGTGAGGTCTTGCAGTGTTTCAAACAGGAGTACCTGGTAGAAATGACTTCAGAGACTAGATTACAAATGGCTGCACAGCTTCATCTTTGTCTACTAGAAGATTCCTTCCTGAAGATTTTGGCTACAGGGAAGCAATCCAGTTGCCCTCTGGCCACCATGCTGTTAAACAGCCCAAAGTAGCCCAGTTGAGAATACTACGTGCACATACTTGAGACTGTATGATAAAAGAAGAGATGATGTATTAATGCCCAGGGACTCCAGCTCCTCCCAAATCCCAGATCCAGATGTTACCTGATTACAATTACATGAAAGTTTATGAACCGGAAAGCCACAGATGAGTTACTTCCCGAGTTCCTGATTCACAGACACTAATGGTAATCAAATAATCACCATTCCTTTTACATCTCTGAATGTTGAGTTGCTCAGTTATATAGCAACAGTGTCTGGAATGCTTAAATGTTTATTTTCAAAACTGTCCTGCTTCTCACACTGCTAGACTACATACCTTTCTTTTTTTAAAATGGACTCAATTTGTCAGGTCCAGAGAAGAGTGTCAGAGTCTGCATCTCTGGCATGCTGCGGGGTCGTGTTATGCTGCTTGTCTACAATCCATAACTTCCATCACAAAACCCTAAACAACCGAGCTGCATATACAGTACCTTTGTCCGCAGGCACTCTGTTTTATTTTCTTCTTGACAACATGACTGAACAGCTGTTTCATAGCATGCAGACATGGTTAAGATAGTGGGTCCGAATAAGAATGGATGTCTTCTAGACATTTCATAGCTGAACCTGTAATTTGACAGTTGAAAAGTTGTGAACTTTGCTGTTGAGTCCCGTATGACAACGTCATTTCAAACGCACAGCATTTATTCATTTTGTGGCTGTCTGAAACTTCCAGAAATCCCATAGATTGAGATTTGGTAGAACTATGCCTAAAACCATCAAATGTTTACTATGAACAAATCACAAGGATCATTCTCCAGGTGCCCATGAAATGACTGTGTCAGGTGGGTTGAACATAATGAGAAATTAGATCTCTCTACTTCCTTAGAGAGACAGGAAGGTAGGAAGTTCAATAGTCTTAAGTGGCACTGGTATGCAGGATTGTTCATCAGGATTAGGAACTGACTTTACAAGTATTGACGGTAGCCAGAAGTCTCTCAAGATCATCCGGAAGTTCTTTCCAGGCTGTCACAGTCAACACCAGTGTCCTGAGACCTGCCATTCAGTATTTTTGCTTGGTACTAAATTCTCTGAAATTATGTTTCCTCATATTTGCCTGTGGAACTCATTAAAAAACAGACTCATGTACAAGATGCGTATGCACCCAGCACAGATAGACATTGTAGAGCAAAACTTGTTTGTGCACACAAATCCACGTCCTTTTCCTGTGCGCTTAGGAACGCTGCTTGCCCTGTAGTGAAGTTGGCAGCTTTGATCAATAAAAGATGAATGGGCGTGCTACACCTTGCTTCTAGGCTTAACTGTTTATTTCTTTTCAAAACTCTCAATCCTCTTTCTTTTATAAACACATGTTCCTGATGCCGTAACTCAAGGCAGAGACATCTGAGATCCAGTTAGTCATTAGATAAGAATTGTCAGGATTTGAGCTGAGCTGGGAAAACGACTGAGCCGCCAGATGTCAAAGTAGCCAAGTATGGCTGGAAGCCAAGGTGAAAGTCACAGTTGGACTGTAATTAACTATTTACTAGGGTCATGAAGGGAAGAGCCAACAGAAGAATGCTTGGATGCTGGATCTTCTATTCAGCCCGGTTGAGGGTCATAGGAATCAACCCAGGGGTTAACAAGATGGCTCAGTGGTAAAGGACCTTGCCATGTTAGCTGGTGACCAGTTTGATAGCTGAGTCATATGCCAAGGGAAGAGAAGAGAAATGGTCCCACAAAGTTATCCTTTCACACACACACACACACACACACACACACACACACACACGTTTGCACACAGTAACTTTTTATTCAGAAAGGAATTATCATAGATATTAAATCTTCTCGTTCCTGAGGGAGGACTGAAGAAAAACTCCTGTTTCATGGACCCCTGGGCAAGGACAAAGCGCTAATGAGACTGGGAACAAGAAAGCCTCTGCTAAAGTCCTGACAAGCAGGCCTTCAAGAGCAGGCACTTTATCAGGGAGTACAGTTCAGTTGGGGAGCATGATGTCCACCCAAGTCCCTGACAGTGCCCTTCAGTATGCTGCTTGTGTGTCTCATCTGCTGTGGGGATGCTCTGGGGTTGCCTGAACCCTGTAGTAAACAGCAGCACATATAGCACTTTAGTATGAGTAGCTATACTCATATTTTGTCCTTAATGCTGGGCATTTTGGAACTTGTGTGATACATGTCTAATCTTTTCTACTGTCAAAGGGCATATGATCATTTCATGAAGCTTCAGAAACCTCTGAGGTCACTTCTGTCCCTGTGAGTATGAACTAAACAGGTTTAGGTTGTTCATCTCCATGTCATCCAGTCTCCTCAATTATCCCTGACTTAGACTAACATTCGTAAAATCCACTATCAGATCACCACCAAGCTCCCAGACTCTAGATTCAGCAATCAGGTTTCTGCCTCAGTCCAGATGTCCATGTCTGACTTGAGAAATACGGATGCAGCCGAATTCCATGAGAGCCACAGTCTTGTGTTCCCCTTGTCCTTTCCTGGCTCTAAACCCTAACTACTTGTTAGCACCTGACTCAAAACAGATGCAACTCCATGCTAATTAGGCTTCCAGACTGTGATCTTGATAATACCATAGTACCGTCACTCACCCCAGCATTACACAGTCTGTTTTTTACCTGAAAATTCACCTCTGTTTAATCTACAGTTATTGCTGTTTCTTGGCTCAAATGACAGACCTTATGCCATGCCTCTCAGATGCTCTGTCTGCTCTCTATTGATGCATCTCACTAGGACTGGGGCCTGTTACTGGCCTCTACCCACAGTGCTCTCTGCTTTTTATGGTTTTCCTAGGTTAGCCTAGTCAACTGGACCCTTTGTTGTACATGGAGAGATAGATATGGCACCTTCTAAATACTCTCATATCCCAAGCTCTGAAGCAATCTTGATTCTTATGCCTTCCAAGAAGAACTCACACAGTGGCACTGGAACAAAAGTTCATCAGACACGGTTAGGTCAGCAGGTAAGGATACAGAAGCACAAGCATCCCTCCATGGGACAGGAGGACCAAGCCAAGCAGCACAAACAAAGGACAGCCCTGGAATCTGGATTTACATCTTAGTCCACCATTTCCCCTCCCTTGGGTCATCCCTAGGGAGGCCTGGGATGGTCTCCTTCCTGAAATAGGTAGTGGCCTGCTTAGAAGCCATTCTTGCTTCCAGTTTAAACCCTTCGCAATCTGATGCTTTAGATGCAAAACATGTTCTATCCATGGTGCTGGAATGTTCAAGAGGGGTAAGGACAGGCACCTTCCTTGTTCGTGTTCCTCACAGGGGACAGGTGGGCTTCGTGGGAGCCAGCAGAAGCCTGCCTAGAGTGTCTTTGCCAACTTCCCAGAGCCTTGTTTATCCTCTTATTTGGTCAGGTTGGCTTTATGGTGTGTAGCCACAAGCCCTCCTTTTTACTTTCCTAGGGTTTACGATGCTGTTTTAACCTCAAGTGTTTGTTTTGCACTAACATTGCTTCTCACTACAACACTGAATATTGACTCCTACTGCTCTTTCTAATCAGAGGCAAGCCCTTTACAGGGCCTAGTCATTTCTAATCATCTACAGCAGACACGTCCAGGCCCTATTTATCCAATAGGATATCAATTGGCATCTTCTTTAAAAGGGGAAAAAGAATCATAGCTCATGTTTCCATTTTAATTCCATATAATAAAACATTGGTTCCAGGGAATTTGATATGCAAAAGGGTCTGTCTTAAAAATTGGGAAGTATTCTTTGTAAAAGACCCATGGGAAAGAGAAGTGGCCTACCTCGCCTTCAGGGACATATTACTCTCCTCAGCCATCTCACAGGTCAGTTCTGGTCTCGTGATCAGGAGTGTATCATGAATGTCTGCGTTGTCTTTCTTGTATGACAGGAAGCACCGGAGTCTTGCTGCAGTTTTCATCTTACAACAGTCAGTGAACACATGATTATCCACAAGTCCTTGGCTGTTGCAAATACGAGTAAGGAAAGAAGCCATCTGTTGGAGGGAAGGGGGACATACAGGCAAAGGGTAGGAGACGACATTTCTCGAAGTGTGGAAGTTAAACTGGGCACGTATGGCGAGCTTTGAACCTAATAATCTCTGGAGACAGAGACTTCAATTTTATTTGTGTATTTGTTCCATGTGTGTACATATGCATTTTTAATTAATTTTAAAAAATTTTTGTTTATGTATTCTGCTTGCACGTGTGTACATCTGTGTGCATACATGTAAGTGTGTGCACAAGTGCACATGCATGTGCAGCGGCAGAGGCCAATACTGGATGTCTTTGTCAATCACTGTCCGTCTTAGTTCCAAGACAAGGTCTTTCACTAAACCTACAGCTACAGCTGTAGTGACTGATCAGCAAGCTCGGGGATCTACCTGTCTCTGGTCCCCACTGCTGGTGTTATGGAAATGCAGGGCTGTGCCTGGCTTGACATAGCTACTAGGACCTGCACCTTTCTCTTCATACGTGTATAAATATTTCACAGACTGAACTACATGTCAGCCTCCAGGCGTAACTTTTAAGTACAAATCTTTTAGGTGCTCTTTTTTTAACACTCATTTACCTATTATGTATGGTGAGCATGTGTGCCTAGTTTCTGCATCCTGAAGAAACTGAGCCACCATAATGCTGACACTGAAAGATGAGATTTGTGTGTTGAGCATGCAATGACGATGTTGCCCTCTTCTTTCTTTGTTGGAACATCACCATCACCACCATCACCATCATCATCTTCATCACCATCATCACCCTATTTTCCCCAAAATAAAGTATAGAGGGCAGAGGACCACTTGAGGAGGACAATTTTCTCCCTCCACTGCATGGGTTCCTGGTATCATCAGGCTGTCGGGGTTAGCAGCAAGTGCCTTTACTGACCCAATCTCTGACAGCCTCTCCTGGGTTTTAAAACCTAAATTCATACCTGCTAGATGTCGACCACAGAGAATTTGCCATTTTTCTTTCCTGTGACATTGCTTCATTTGCAAGTGATCGAAAGGCTTTTGAAAAATAACTAGATATCATTCAGAATACCCAGGGCAGCAGGATATTTCTAGTGAGAACTACACACACACACACACACACACACACACACAAAGCTGCTAATTTGGTTTATTTCCTATTCGTTTTTAGTTTTGTTTCCATGGGAACATATTTTAAGAATTGAACTCTGAGTCAGCGTGTGCTCTGTCGTCAGCTTTACAGCTGGAAATGTAATTAATTTCCATGTTTTCTAATGTCTTTAGGTGGCAGTTAACGTGTGGCATTTGGTAAACCTCAGCTGGCAAGTGTGTTTCATATTTGAGAAATAAATGCAAAAAAAAAAGGTCATCTTTTGAAATGAAAATAAAAAAGGGGGATTGTTCTAAAAACTAACATAGCCACTGGCAGAATCTTGATTTAAAATTTGGACTGATGACGTCCCTTCATTATTCAGAATCTAGAACATGATACACACACGGCATTAGCTCAAGAGACAGGGCAGGAAATTGCACAAATAAAGAAGGAAAGCTACGGCGCTATCGGGCGGGGGTGAGGTTCGGGCCGGTTGTGCCGTTGCGA